CTATACCAACTTGCATAAGTTTTTTCCTTGGATGCTGCACTGGAATTATAATAATAAAAAGACAGTATACTATTTCCAAGATAAGCGTTCTTGTCTTACAGCCTATCTCGTGGGAAATGTATGTCAGAAACCTTTAACTTCAACTTTGAAACAGGTTTTATTTTAACTTTCCTGAGTATTGATCCAGTTTTTTTAAACTGGCAAGTAACGGCAGAATTTCAGTAAGAAGATTAGAGAGAAAAAAGGAGATCTGTTAATCAGAGATTAGAAAGTCATGTGTATTGGAGATGGGAAGATTTTATATTTTCTGGTTTTGGATGTAATTCTTTTTATTGATGACATAAAAATATAAGACACATGTCTTGTTCAGTGAGCTATCGGTGGTGGGCATTGTCATCTTGGTTTACCAACTTGATTGTGCTTTTCTGGAAAGGCAGGCAGCATATGATACATTCAATCTAAAAATGAAACGTTCCTTTGGAAAATGAAAAATAAAAAAATTGTTGTGTCATGATGTTAGGAAAAAAACTACTATATTAAAACCTAGAGCAACATTCAAAACTGCTCTATCTACTGGGACCAGAAAAATATCAAGACAAATTTAATGTGTGCGTATTCATGAGTGTAAGTATTCTTTCTGCTAAGTACAAGACATTTGAATATACTGGATATAGGCTATGAAATTTTCATGCTATTAAAATTCACTGTAGCATTTCGTTTGTTTTGGGTTTTTTTTGAAGGGAAATAAAATGTTCAAATTGAAACTATTTTATTAAACTCACTGTGATACTATCTAGATGTTCCAATTGAGAACTGAAGCACAAATGTTTTAAAATATTAAAATCCAGAGAATATAGGCTGTATAAAAATTAAGTAAATGATCCTGGAAATGCTTGTATTTAGGATGAAATTTCTGCACTGAACAGTCAGGTATCTATTTATTGTGAAGAAAAGATTTAGTGATAAGAGATACCAGTTTTCTCCTATTATAATGGGTCACTAAAATATGTGTAATGGCTGAGGCCTGTTCCTATTTGTAGAGTGGCCACAGCAGTCATGTGCATATCGCAGAGAATGCACGATATCTGTGAAATCAGATATATAAGTTCTATAAAGGTTAGCATGTAACATAATTGCTTCTCATTTGATTTAAAGTTTATGTATTTAAGTATTTCTATTCTTGACACTGAAATGCCATATTTAAAAAGAATAACATAATGAATACAGTCTTGCTGTACTTTTATGCCTTGAAGAAAATCATTGTAGCATCTTTATTTCCTTCTAAATTAAATGTGAATGCAAATTTAAACTAGAAAATGACTAACTTAGGAAGAGTGATCTGCTTTTTTTCAGAAATGGCTCATAGAACAGAAACCCATTTTTATATAATATCTATTAAAAAAAACCCACAACCAAAGCAATGTTTCTGCCATAGCTTGCAGAGAAAACATTACACAAAACAGCTCACATTAGCTTGTTCTTGGGCAATATTTTTGTAACTTATTAATTCCTTTTCCCCTGGCATCTAACTGGAGACCAGTGGAAAAGATGGTTGATCACTGAGTCAAAAACCTTGGTGGCTCCTTCATGGGAGACAGAACCAACAGCTTTGAGATAGAATCCTGCTAAGAAAATAAAATTATTTTAGACTGAAAGTGTAAATAACTCAACAGTGATTAAGCTCATTTGTATTACTACTATCTGAAGCACAGTTAGGAAAGTTTTAAAGAAAGCTCTATGGAAGAGCATCAAACATTTTATCTCAGAAAAATTACAAGCTCACTAGCACAAGCCAGTTACAAAAGTAACTGAATCTGAATTTTGCCTGCTAACTGTAAACTCAAGACAGATTAAACATACTGAGTATAGATTTACTGAGAGAAGGGAAAGCGTGAGGGGATTGTACCCCACCTATTTGTATCACTTATTACTGTAGATTTCCAATACGACTGCAGGGCTGTTCCCATGTGCCATGTTCCTGTTCATGTGATGGATACTTCAACCCCTAAACCATACTGAAAAAAACCCAAAATCTGATCGTGCAAAATGCTGGCTGACGATAAAATCAAAAGATAAAACAGAAACAAAGAAAAGAACAGATACTGGAGAAGACTATGCATGGTGTAATGGTCTATGACTACTAAGCAGAAACAACTTGCTATCAGGTGATTTTTTTGACACCTATCAGCACTAGAAACAGGATGACTCAAGACTACTTTTTCACGTGAGTTACGAAGATTCATTGGCAAGTCACTGATGAACGATCTCAGATTTTGAACATTCCCATCAGCATTGCAAAATATCAATCTGAATCTCAAAACCCCTTAATTAAACCCAGATTTAAAACCCTTAATACGATCATAAATTTCTGAATTCTTGAATGCAATCTTGCTTTTTTTCCTGGTTTTGTTTTAAACAAACTTTTGCTCCTTTTCAAGTTACACAGTGACAGTTTGGTAAAAATTTGTACGTACTCCATTTCTCTTTTTACAATTGTGCACTTCTGTTTTCCTTATATACGTCAGACAATTTGTAAATGTCTGAAGGTTTGCAAGATTATGAGCAATGCCAATAAAAAAAACTTCACATGTCACATCTACAAAATCCTGTAACTGCATCTGAGAAATGTTTTGGATTATTATTCTTAAATAACACAGTCCAAAATTCAAAACTTAAAAACTGAGTGATCAGCAGAATAATCATAATTATAATTATGTACTGAAATGGTAACAAGCCTTTCTGTACTATAGCTACAGCTTTCAGTTCCAGCATCATTAAAAGATTCTTCAAATTACTTTTTAAATAACCTTTTCCCTCAGGATTTTCACTTATACCTAATTAGACTACTTACCCCATGCCATGTAATTCCCTATTGCCAAAACTGCTAAATGCTTCAATAAGAAGGAGGAGGGCACCAGTGGAGCAAGGCAGATGTAATGTCATTGGTTAACAATAGAGGTGTGAAGCAACTGCCATAATTATAAAACTCATTAATTCACAGTGTTTAGGGGGGAAAAAAAAACCTTGGCAATGACTCTGTTGAAATGGCAATTCTTTTCAACACTACATCAGATTGAAAAAAACCTTTCAATTTACACCTTCAACAAGACAGAATAGTAATTATGAAAATCAACATCTGCAAAAAGAGTAAGGAAAAATTAATGGTATCCAGCAGTCATATATCCTTTCTATCTTTCAAATTGACATATGCCTCATTTTAACTCCTAACCAATTTTATTTTTAGTCTTATTCTTCTTAAGACTGTAAATGGACAACTTCCAAGACTGTATTTCCAGAAAAAAATAGAAAGAATTAAAGCAAGATTAATGAACTTAAAATTTTACAATCTCTGCCCAACACTAGGGTCCCTAGGTTTTGGCTGCAATGGAAATATTTGCACTTCACAGATGTAACCTGTTTAAATGGATGAGGAGCCCTGGCACAACATGGAAAGCACTAGGCTCTGCGTATGTCATGCATCTTCCCTGAGCTGCTCACTAGCATAGGCAGTTAGGAAATGTCCCCCAACACTGGTAATGCTATTCTCAAACTTTCTCTGTTCAAATTTGCCTGGAAACAAAAAATCTGAAGTTTCTAGGTGGAGAAAATTTTCTCTAGAGAGAAAAAGAGATTTTAAAGAGACAATAGCCGGACTAAAGCTCTCACCCTAAATACTCAACATTATATTATTTAACTTCTGTTCACTAGTGGGTATTTCTTTGTAAAATTTTAGTTCTTTTACATACATCATATATAGGAATTGTAGTTTATTACCATTCTGAATTCAGCTGAATACACTGAATTTCATTTCATATAATTTGCAATGTTTTCTGACAACAGAACAACAGATATTGCAGGGTCAGTGATAGCAATTCCTCTATTTAGGCTCTCTAACACTTTCCATCATAAAAGATTACTGTGGCCTTTATTTCTGAGCTGTAACACTCCGAATGCTTGCAGCAGGCGATTTAAATTTATCAGGAAGTAAGTCTCTGTACTAGAAAAGTGGCTTTCCTAGTGTCATAAAATGCTGATCAGGTTTTGTTGAGATGCAATCTGTTGAATAGCATTGTTTTTATTTTTCTTCTTTTATTTCTCCTCAGAGAAGTTTTGGCAGCATGTCAAAACAATAATGAATACAAAAGTAACATACATAAATACTGCAAGATAGGACTCTAGATTTTGAAGCTAACACTTGCAAATCAGGATATTAAAGAACTTTGGGCACTTGTATAATATATATAATATAAGAGAGACTTTAATCATAAATGGGCAGAAATAAGTTTTTCTGGATAATATTCAGGTACTTCTTGTTTCCAAGCACATGTGTGTAAAAGTGGAGTTATACCATTTTGAAAAAAGATTTTGTGGATATAACTATTGAAGTAATTGAAAAGGAAAATGGAGTAAACCCCAATTCTTTTATGATGAGAGTGTAATACTATCACGCTGCATTTTGCACTGTCTCCAGATTTGTACCCTAAAATCTTTTGCCTTGCATCGCGCTTCTCTACTAGTCACTAGATTGACTGTATGAGCTGGTATTATTGGAGGTTATGATCTTGGGGACTGTGACGTGGCTGGAGGAAGGAAAAGAAGGCATTTTAGGAAACAGGTCTTCCCCATATGTCTCCCCCGCTTTATAAAGCTGCTGTATCTTCCAGATTGTCCCAGTGTAAAGTGAGGGGCCTGGTACAGAATTAGAATGTTGGTATGCAGTTACTATTCTGGCATCTTAGTGTTACACCCAACTTTAGGAAAAAAAGAAGCATCAGATTTACACAGATCTCAAACATTATAAAGGGATATAAGAAGAGAAACAGGTGTATACAGTAATTTTGATGTACAGATTAGATGAAACACTTGAAACATCAAAAATTGTTCAGGTATATTACTCAAAACAACAAAAACCAACATTACAGATCAGGGAAGAAAGGCTTTTCTTAACTTCAGGGTGTTTTTTCAGACACTTCTAAGTGTAAAAAAATATCATCACTTACTGTCAGAATTAAGAGCAAATCTTCAATGTTGCTTTCAGCTTTCAACTGATCTTTGAACATTCCAATAGTTGGGTGCTTCAAATAGTAATAGGAAGCAATGCGGCCGTATGTCAGGGGTTCAATGCTGCGATTATCCTGTTAGGAGAGGAATCAAACATACGTGGTTCCTACATGGTTCAATATAAATGGTTCCTACAAAACTGTAAAATATTTTAGGACTACTTTGTAAGAGAGAACAGCAAAAACTATTTAGCATCATAATTTAGCTGCAACCCTGATAAAGCTGTTTTCAATGTAAGTCTTACAAATAGCTTCATAGACAAACTAACATCTCAAATCAGGAGTGTGTATCTTGCTGTTGCCAGCTTTCAGGAGCATGTATCTTACTGAATCTTGTAAGGTGCAGATTAGTCTTACCTCCCCAACCTCAATGCAGTAGGAGCATTCCAAATCAAAGAGGGATTTCTCAACAAGGCTTGAGAGGTACTTATTCATAGTGTCATGGCTCACATCATCCAAGTTATAGTAACTAGATAAATTGAAAACAGATGCATTACATGAATACTTTTGACACTGAAGGTTTTTAACAATAACATCTTGTAGAAAAACTTACAAGGCTGCTATTATACACACACACATACTTGGAACAGTATGTGTGTGCATTAACAATTAAACAATTACACACAGAACTATTCCCTTACATAGACTGACAAGAAATTCATTATTCTTAAATGGTTTGTGGGAAGAACCAACATAATACAAGCGTGTACATATGGAAAGATGGTAATGTATCTGTTTACTAATAGAAAGATTGATACAAACAGAACTGGACTGGCTATATTGTGTTAGTGAAAAATTTTCCTGGTTGCATGAGTATATTTTCCTGATTATATAAGTATGAAAGTGAAGAAGTCATACTAACATAAGTAACAGTATTTTAACTTGAAGAGAAAGGAAGAAAATGCACTAAGGATAGCAACTGTTCTTACATCCTGGAACTCTGAAAATAAAAACTAGGCATGTAGTATTAGATTTTCATGTCATTTTATTCTCAAAGATAGAAATGCTTAAAAAAAGAAAGGAATAGCGTGTTTGTCAATGTGCTTATTTCACATGTTTCTTTTCAGGTAACATTGTTTAGGTAAACTATACATAGTAACAATGGTTCTTATGTGTATTAAGAAAAAATGTTTATAAACTGTTATGCCAGCATATAAAAAGACTCAGTGAATGAAAATTGCACTTCTTAACTGTAAAACTTAAAGTGTACTATAGATTATATAGTTATATAAGATTCTTACTCACACAGACTAACATAATTTCAGGGAGAGCTTTTACTTAGAAAACTTGAGATAAAAATGTAGTAAGAACTTGTATCCTAGGTTCAACAAAGGCACCAATTCAGAAAGCAACAATGAAGTTCAATGAGCAGTAAAGAAAAACTGAGCATGCTCAGAAAGTTTAAAAATTCTGAATTTGAGCAGAGCAATTAAATCACACAATTTGAAGGTGGAAAACAAAAAAAATCTCATGATTTATTGAAATGTTAAAAAGCGCAGTAAAAAAGGTCATCCCTGCTCATTTAATTCTGTAAAACACTGTTGCACAAACAGGCTACTGATGCTGCACTGATGAAAGATGCTCCTTTGTTCAAACTAGCTGCTTTATTAAAATTTCCTACTGTTACGATGTACTCAGAATCCCCACTGGAAACAATACCACATGTTGTAATGGAGATTAGGTTCTTCCAGTGTTGTTTTGTTCAGGTGAACAACAGGCTGCAAAACAGTATGCTGAGGTTCATTTTAGCTGACTTTACATAGTCACAGCTACCCCTAAGTTAGTCTTTTTAACTCCCTTTACTGCCAATGGAGAGAAACATGTGCTTGCAGAATGCTATTAATCTGAGATATTTTATATATCTGCTTTAGGATGAGGTGAAATGTAATCACTGACTAAAAAAAAGACCTATAGGCAATCAGTTCAGTTGTTGATGCTGTTTTTGGGCAGATGAATCCCATTCTCTGATTTAAGCTCTAGTTTGTTTACTGTACTGCTGCAGCTAGCAAATTTCAAAAGATGGAATTGCATTTTTATATGCTACAAGCATCCTTCCATGACTGTTTTATTTACAAGAATCTGATTTGCATTATTATTTTCTTAAGCAGAGTTTTTAACATATATCTTTTTGAATAACAATAGCATAACTGAAAAAAGCCTGCATGTTAAATACCAGTATAGTAATTTCCAGATTTTTCCCCTTGTTATTTATCTTAAATTCTGGGGTTAATACTCTGATGTTTTGAATGTTCGCTTATAATTGGATAAAGTTGGAGTAAAACACTACTACCGTAAGAAAAAGATTTAAAAAATCTGTTCTGATAGCAGGAAACAGTCAGCTACATTAGACAACAACATATAGATATATGGCAGTGAAGTATTCAACTGTGATATCTTAGATGAGTTCATGCTGAGATGATCTCAAATACGTAAAACATAGCTATCGTCCAGAAAAAAAACCCAACAAAAACATCAAAAGAAATATGATTAAAAAGATATTGACTAAAAAGTTTTATATGGTAGATAGCCACACGTTATCAGACTGACACAAAGAAAACTTGCTTGTAGTAAAAGTACTCTAACATTGTTTTCAATGCAACTTAATTTTCATGAAAGTCCCCATTTAGATTTACTTAAGTAGTATAGTAATGATAAAAAATTCTCACTATTTCCATTTGCACCTCTTATCTGCCTGACGTGTTACCAATGAACACATTAAGATTCTGTTTATTAGCAGAAATTACTTTGTAACATTTTGTTTATCTACTGAAAATAAGCCAGCAAATTAACTACATAAGTTGTTTAAGGATGTGAAAAGATTTTCTATTTTATACATATAATCCACTAATGATTCATTAGTATTTTTCTCTAAATTGAATATCACACTACTGAAATGATTCTAATTAAGGCACTTCGTTGTATTCAGAGTTTCACCATATCATTGCAGCACTATTATTTGCAGTACCACAACACTGATGATGAATGCTGATAAAACAAAGGAAGAGATATGAGACTGAAATGTAAGACAGTAATTCAGCTATTTTTATCTTGTGCTCTGCCTGATTTGCAGTCATAATCATAAAAGGCATTATAATGCCTTTTAAAAACTATGTGAATTTTAAATTTGCTGATTTTGGGTAATCTTTTGTCAGAGTAGTAAACATCTAGCTGCCTAGTGCAAATAAAACAATGTAAAGAAAAATCCTAAATGGTTTGCAATCTTGAATGAAGTGGCACTAGTGTGTTTTAGCTACTATTTATAATGGGGTAAATATAATTTTGAACACACCTACAGGAGCTTCTTGGTCACTCAGCACATTTTCTCCTAATAAAAAGCAAAGCCATGTAGAGAGACTATGTTAAAATCGTTAGTGAAAACAGAGGTATCATGATATTAGACAGTATTTTGAATGCACAGGCATAAATGCAAGTTGAATTTTGCATGTTGGTATGCTCCAACTATAAAAGCTGCACTGTATGCGAGTTCCTCTATGAAGCTATATTACCTAACTATTTAATTACAGATAAAGAATAAAGACAATGCAGTTTCATGCTTACTGCATTGAATCATCTAGTCATTATTTCCCCTTTGCTATAAACAGACAGCCTACCTTTTTATCAGCACACCATTTCATTTATTTCACAGTGAAGCCCAGTTTCACAATAATTGACTTGTCAGAAGCTCTAATTTATGAGGCTGGGCTCTGTAAGCCTTCTCCTATATTGGGCTCAACCTGCACACAAGCAGGGTTGAATATTTACAATGCTGTTAACAGGTGCTGAGTTGTTTAATGATTCTAATAGCCAGAAGCGTACTGAGAAAGCCAGCGGGATCACAATTACAGGCTGTTTGAACACAACAATTACTCGTCCCCTGAGAGGTGTGAAAGTCAAAGGCAGTTTTATCCTAACAGCATCTAGCACATGGGCTAGACAGGCTAACTTCCATTAGTAGTCCATTGGGAAAAAGCTGTAACAACCCCCTAGGTATCATAAAAATTTACAAAGTATGTAAAATTTAAACAATCAAAACCTGAAGGAACTTTTTATTGTCTTTTAAATAACATATTTTAAATCCCAAACCTTGTAAAGCTTAGCAAGAACAACAAACCGTGAAACATGAGCTTATTTCTCTCATCTAAGAAAGTGTGGAATTTCATCAGCTGAGAAAGACAGAGAGACATGCAGAAACAAAATGTAGATGAAGTTACACAAAACATTTAGGATTTAATGTGAATGGTGGCAATCATTTCCTGTTTAGCTTATGTAAACCTGACCTGAGATCTCTCTGGGAAATTTTTCATCAGCCTTGAAATGCTCCTGCTATAACTGTCAATGCTGTGAAGTCATTTGTTACGGCACCATGTTTTTTATGTTCAGATTATACGGTAGTAATAGTGACACACATAATGAAAATCAGTGGCAGAGTCAGCCAAAAATATTAAAAGATAAAAACTTGCTAGCTGGAAGGCCTTTTGAAACAAACGCGCTGAAAAAGACAAATCCACAGCATTCACTTGATGGCAAGAAAGTGTGCATTCTGAGATTTCACAGTCCTGAAAGTGGAAATTTGTTATGAACAAGTATGGGGGAAGCACAGATAGTAATTTTTATAAATCGCTTTACTGCAGTCATCAACTGTGTTTACTTTCATCAGCCTGTGACCTTCAACAGCTGCCATCTTCAAATGGTACCATGGAAATGGTACTGAGTATTCGGCACAACTGATGGACTTTCATAGCCAGAGAGCTATGAACCAATGTACCAACTCCTGCTGTTAAGGCATCACTGACTGACTCTGGAGCCTGGGACTGGCTTGCTAAAATGCATCAAAACACGTACAAATGCTGCAGACAGTCATCTCCATCTGCATTTTACTTGCATTTTCTTGCATTCATATATTTGCTTATGCCAGGTATGAGAAATAGATACCTTGCTGCCTCTAATAACTTTTTAGTGTATTGTACATTGTGGTTATTTAAGAAGATCAAATCTGCTTCCACATCAGTCTTGTAAATATTTTAATTAAAAGCAAAGTTTGAGATGAGAAATCAGAGGCAACAGGCACATTGTAAATTTGCTTACATATTGATTGGGCATTTCTTTTTCCTATTATATATTCCAACAGATAATTTATACAGATAAATCATATCCAAGAGTGGGAAAAGAATTATGTGAATTTGCTTTCTGAATGGGGAGATGCAGGGTCTTCAGCTTTGCATCTCACCTAAGACTGCAGCAAACTGGGGAAGAAGAGGGTGGCTCAGATACTCAGCAGCCTGGGGCTTTCCAGACTGAGTGACTGAGAAAAACTTAATTTGCATGAATAGTTTGTAAAAGCATACCATGACTTACATTCCTGTACTTTTTGCATCACGGTGACTCTAATAATTTAAAAGAACAAGCTCTTATTATGAAATTCATAGTAATGCTATAGCTGTTATTTATGAAGTATATACACATGCACACAGATCTAAATGTGACTATAAAAGGAAGAATTCACCCTGACAAATATCTGTTTACCAAGTCAAAACATGGATATTGGTAATTATTGCAGTGTAACATCCCTGCACCTTCCTAGCTTATGTTTTTAATAGCTACTGCCAAACCTTTCCATTTTATCTCTTAATCTTTGTTAATTTAACTTTCTTCAATAATCCTCCCTTCTGATATAATTCCAAACTAGCCCTAAAATTCTGAATATCTGTGTTTTTGTAACGGAAATACGTATTATTCTATCCTGACTGGCTGCTGTTAGCTGTCACCTCAATACCAGGGACCATATTGGAACAGTATATAATAGTAATTTTTATTCAGTTGTTTTATTCATGTGTTATTAGACATGCTCAGTTAATCATACTGAGAAGAGGAAATTTAAAGTAAAATCTAAGTGTATGATGATAAGATCATCAGTCTGAGATAATTAAATTATAATTTATGTGACATCATTCTTTCAGTCCAGAAAAGTTTGTAAGACTGACACAAAGTGGAACCCTCTCTCCCCTTAATAAGAATTCTCAGAATGAATAAAACAATTTTTTTCAGGTCTTCAGAAGGAATTTACACAGAAAACTGATTCTATAAGTGTATATGTATACCCACACAATCTTGTATATATTTGTATATACATTAAAAAAACACACACATTTTAACAGTGATGGGATGTGTGCTCTCAGAATGTCTAACTTTCCAAATGAAAGCTGATTCTGCTTAACTTTACATATGTTGTAAATTTCTATTTCTCTTTTACTGCACATGTATCTGGAAAATATCATAACCTGATTTACAGAAAATGTTTCCCTTAGCCATTTCTCTTTTGTAGAAAGTTGCAGATTACAATCTTTTATAAGTGTAAAAGAATGAAATAGTAAAGGAATTTCAGTCAAGGAAAGGAGATAATCGAGTGTCTCAAAATAGCCCCTTTCAAAGAATAGGGCACTTTGCTGATCTGTCTTGTCTGATCTTAACTAAGTAAAGAAAATATTGACTGAAGTTGTATGTGGAAAGAAGAACACGTTGTAGTCCTTCACTGAAGACACTGACTTAATGTGCAAATTCAAAAACCTCTACATTTAGGAATAATTGCTCTGGGGAAAGGAAAGAAAAGGAAAGAAATGCTGGATGTTGAGACTGATACACTTTGATAAACAGTTTTAATTGGACCAGCCCTCTCATTTGCAGATCATCCCTTGAACAACATGCCCATGACTAGTCAGTATGCCTCTGAACAAAATTAGCACTTAGCTACTCCACTCCCCCAAATCAGAAGCTCAATTACTCCTCTTAACTAGACAGTTAAAACCCATTTCACAGATCTCAAGATAAAGGCGTTCATCAAACAAGAAAATTAAAATGGTTTTTTGGAAACAAGCAAAGATTTTCAACACCACCATTTAAAAAGATATTACTGGAAGTCTAACAAATTACCTCAAGTGTGCCAGAAAAGCTTTTGTAATGACTGGATGTTTAGAAGAAACCTGGATACCTACTGCAAAAGGATACTTTGATCTCTCTCACAGCAAAGTTAGATTAACATTACTTAAATAGTACAAATTGTAGGCATTCAGTAAGGCATTTTATGATACTGGATTGGAATAGAATGACCACAGATTTGTTTATGCAGCTTTAATATACAAGTAGCTAAAACTGGCAATAAATGAGAATATAAATCTTCTACATATTATCTAAGCCCATTATTTTGGCGATTTACAGCATCACATGCAATGACTTTTATGCCCATGAATCCCAAGGCAATTTACCAATCATGCATACGGGAATTACTTATACAACACTAAGGTAAAGTCACCTGCTGGCTGGAAAATAGTCCTTGTTTCACAGTGGAAAGAAAGTCAACAAAACTGCTTTGGGGCAGGACATGATAAAGAACACTGTATCAAGTGACATTGAGTAGGTATTGCGTAACTACCTGACCCAAAATTCAGCCATTGTGTTCCTACTTTTTATAAAAAATAAACCATAAAACTTTTGGATTATTAAGGGCCACAAATAGTTCTTGGTTGGTAATATCAATCATTTCATAGGCTTATCTATGGCACAGTAAATATATTACTATAATGCAATTTATTCAAAGTTATCTCAACTATCATTGACTTCTCTTCATAAAACTCTTCAGTTTTCCTTTGGTGTATCTCAAACACTGACCACACTGGAACTAATTGGCTTGTAGGAAGTCTGAAAATATCACAGACAGTAGGTCCACAAACTCTACTGACTGGCTAGTTTAGTACCTTTGGATGAAACTGAATAGAATTTATTATTGTGTCAAAGAATGGAAAGTGTGCACATCTAGTGCACTTGTACTTGGTATCTGAAAGTGACCTCTTTGACATAGTCAATAATGTCTGTCATTTTCCTCCCTGCATGATTGAGTACAGAAAGAATGCTGAGTACCGAGGAGACTGAGGGGAGACCTCATTCATGTTTATAAATATTTAAAGGGTGAGTGTCACGAGGATGGAGCCAGGCTCTTCTCGGTGACAAACAATGATAGGACAAGGGGTAACGGACACAAGCTGGAACACAGGAGGTTCCACTTCAATTTGAGAAGAAACTTCTTCTCAGTGAGAGTGACAGAGCACTGGACCAGGCTGCCCAGAGAGGTTGTGGAGTCTCCTTCTCTGGAGACATTTAAAACCCGCCTGGACGCCTTCCTGTGTAACCTCATCTAGGTGTTCCTGCTCCGGCAGGGGGATTGGACTAGATGATCTTTTGAGGTCCCTTTCAATCCCTAACGTTCTGTGATTCTGTGATTCTGTGATACCTTTGTGTGGATGAGACGGGGGGTAAAGCAGAACAACTTGTGAACTATTCCAACCTGCGTGTGTGGCGTTCCAATGAAAGACTCCAATCTCATTAGGAACTTCAATATGTATTCCTATCCTGCCATTATGGATGTGACTAGTCAAGAGCTGTTTATCTTGTTTCTCACTACAAAGGCTCTGCATGTCACTATGACATATAGCAGGTCTTTTTTCCTCTCTCTACCTTTATTCCCACAATCCTCTCAGCATAGCAGAACTTTTGCTTAGAAGTTTCTATTGCGATAACTTCAGATTTAGCTTTATGTGACGCACTGCACATTAAAGGAAGTGCTGAGAAAAATGGACCATCAGTAAACTTGCTAACCTCACATTCCACTGGGAACCTTTGTATTGGGAAGAGGTGGCCTATTAAATCAAATAACTACATTTCTAGTTTGTACACTTACCTTTGGGCTATATGTTGTGTCTTAAAAATCTACCTAGCATATGATCAAAGCTTGCCAAAGGCAAATCAACAACATCACTTTAACACAGCAATTCAAGAGCAAGACATCTTAAAATAAAATTCTTTATACTAAAAAGGAATAGTGTCTGCAGTGGCATAGTTTTAAACAGTAGTTGTAGAACGGATCATGTGTAGATTTCAAAGTCATGCAACTAAACACAGCTTTATCCACCTCTAACCTAGAAAAAACCAGAAGTTAGCAGTTTTGTCACTTTCAGAGAAGAAATACCTTCGACATAAATGTATTAATTTTGTTAGTTAACAAGTAAGAGAATTGAATATGTTTTCTTTAGTTTACAGTTCTATCACTCTGCCATTTTTTATTTCCCAAGAAGATTAGATGGAAATTCTGTTTTGCGGGAGATTCTTAGCATAGGACTAGATGCACAATTCAAAACTAATGAAGACGAAAAAAGAATTGAAGGAAATTATTTTATCACCTGCAGGCTCCCACTAGCTGTTGCCCATAAAGAATCCAGCTGAAAATTCAGCCAAATGTTACGGACATTAACATAATTTCAGAAATACAACACTCTGGAGTACATCAAGAAATATTTAGTGCTATAAATGCCAAATTCTTTATTTGCCACATTATTTTGGTGTGTGAATGATCATACCATTTACTCAAAACAATGTTGTGGCAAAGGCAGGCTATGATGCTGGAACAGCACAGAATGATCTGCATACCAGCTGGAGCTAGGCAGGATGATAACAATCACTGAAAATATTGCACACATGGTTTCACCAGGATACCCTAATGAAAGTAAACTTTATCACAGAGAAACAGCTGATAGCTATTCTCTCATTTATTAGGAAAATCCAGGTCTTAATAGATTTTCTACAGAAAACTGGGCAGAACATGTCAATGTGGTAGCTAAAAAAAAGTAACACACTATGAATATAATACCTAAAGGAATGTGATAATCTGGAGTTTTATTTTAGGGATGCTGATGGAGGTCCCTCAATAAGGCTGTTCTATAGTTGTTCTAAATTGTAAAGTTATCTGCCCATAACGCATTTATATTTAGAGAAAAATATATTTTAAAAATGTGCACATGAGTTTTATTCCATGTGTGGGCCAGTAATGCTCCTACATTTGAGACTGCTAAATACTACAGGCTCCAACAGCAGCGGGATCACCTTTGGATCAACTCTACCCTCAAGTTACCTTTAGATTAAATTGCATTTGTATTTTATACTCACGTTGGGTTCATTATAAGTCGACGGAAGAAGTAAGTCCAGGTGATATAATCCATTGCATCTTGCTTAGAAGTAATAGTTCCAGCAGCAATTTCAGCATTCAAGTGGTCAGCCAGCACTTCTAACAAGCTGAAGCACAAGAGGACTTAGCTGACTTTACAATCACAAAGACAGGCAATATATTTTGTAGCATTGTGCATTAAAAGGTTTATTACTTTTAATCTGAAAATATTATATATATATCTTCTGGTAAAAGAGAAAAGGGGAAGAAGAGGGAATGTAATTGCAACGTCAGTCATCTTCTTTACATGTTAGTGGAATGAAGCTTAAATAATTTTTTGATTGGATCAAGAATGCACAAGTGTAAGTCATTCATGGAATGTATTCAGATGGAGCTACTCAGTGGTAACTTCTGTAATACTGTATGTTGACCATATGATCATGCTGGTTTAATCCAATAGGGAATCATATGGAAAGGCAAACAGGAAATGAAACAGTGGCAATAGCTTAGCTAATACTTGACAAATACTTGAGGGCTATTAAAATGACATCAAAACTGCTTCCCCCCGATTTTGCCTCATCTTCATGCAATGTAAAAAAAAAAAAAAAAAAAAAAAGGCAGTTACTTTTCCCCAGAAAGATCTAAACTCAGAAACACAGAAGAACAATAGCAGTTTAAAATTATTCTTACGAAGTAAAATACTGTTTAGTGTCATTAAATGCAACAAAGTTTAATTTGGTATGAGTAGTTGTTTTACTGCTCTATACCACTGATTGCCTGTTCTGAAGCTAAGATCTGTAGATGTTCTACCTAGGCTGTCCCACAGGAACTGGACAGATTATTCAATAGCTATTGCACAACAAAGAGGGATTTCCCTTTTGCTTCTAATGTGCTGTATTTCAGACTCGAGACCAGTGACAGCACAAGGCCTGTCATATGAGTTGTGTACTCAAGTGTTACAACTAATACATAGACAATGGCTTGTAGAAAAAAAACTTTAATTAAAAAAATACAAAGTTTAATTTACAAATTGGAAATCCTACACAATGCTGATAAATCTGCTCTTTGGTAGAACAGATGGGAAAGCATTCTAAAACTAAAAACCCTCAAAAAAAACCCCAAATAGTTTCTTTTGGAAGCTATGAAGCCACTTACTTCAAATAATTGATCATAAAAGAGACCAAGAGAACTCTAAGTTAATAGAATCACAACCTCTGTAGAACTTAATGAGACTGCTATTAATATGTGAATCTTCATCTGAAATTTTATCAAATACTCTTTGTTTATAGTAAAAGATGGAATATATGAAACTACAAAGTAAATACATATAGGTAAAATGAGCTATGGGAAACAGAGAATATTTATAGTATTCCAAACAGAACCAAGGTGTGATTACAACTGTTATACTGAAGATCAGGTTTCTTTATTTAGAAAAAACACTTACCAACAGAGAGATTTCCTAGTTTATGCAAGTGCCATACAGTCTGGATATATCATCAGCACTTCAGGCATACTACTCTTTTGACTTACTAGCCATCATTGGAAGAAGTTCAACTCCTAGCCTTTTGTGCTCATTGCAATTATATGTTAAAAAAAGAAAAGTGTGGTTTTCTAAGGAAATGAAGTGCATGTCTTCACATTCCTTGTTTGCAAAAATTGTATGTCTGTCTGTGCATCATAGAAATTAACCTTCAAATACATCAGCCCATTTCAACTACATTTCACTGATAGCTCTTTCAAGCTCCTTCAAATTACATAAGGAAAAAATTTTTCACACAGAGGTTGTGGAGTCTCCTTCCCTGGAGACATTCAAGATCTGCCCGGATGCGTTCCTGGGTGACCTGGTCTGGGTGATCCTGCTCTGGCAGGGGCGTTAGACTGGATGATCAATTCCTGACCAGCCAGACGTCCCTTCAGTTCTTATCTTGAAGGATGAAGTTTTCTTTGTATTCTTCATCACTGAGAAAATCTTTCTACGTGCTCATGCTTTATTAGATGTCTGAGAATTCCTCCATGAGACATGCTCTACAGGAGACTGATACAACTAGTTCTGCTTCTCATTGAAAAACTAAGTATATTATTAATATAAAACTAAAGCATGAGTTACATTATGCTGGACAGCAAACTAAGTTTGGAGAGGCTACCAAAAGGTGGTGTTTCTAAATTTCTGACAAAAATATTGCAATTTTGAAGTGAAAGATGTGTTGAAGGTGTATTAGTTAATTGTTTACACCATGCAGATTTATTTCTGAACCTGTAAGATTTTGAAGAATGTGATATCTATAATGGTACAAGCATTCTAGGTAAAAAGTGCTAGAAATTAATCTATTTTTTTTTATATTAGGAATTTGTCACATAATTTCAGAGAGGGTTCTGAGGATTATGTATAGTTGTCCTAAACACTGGTCTTGAAGAACAGTATTCAGCTGTCTGAGACAACACTCAGAAGCAGAGAAGCATTTGCAGTATTATCTGGGAATGGACTAAATAGCTCACCAGTGCTTTGAAACTCATGGGAGAAAGGATTTTCCTGAATAAGGATGGATAATATTTTGTGGAAAATGACTTTCCTCTAGGATCCCAATATTAAGGAGATATTCGGCACAGGAATTTTGTTTCACATTTCACTATTCCCCATGTGTAGTTTTGCTGATAATTTGATCAGCTTTTCTGATTGCATTATCTTTACCTTGATTCCACTGGGAAAGGTTCATAAAGGAATTTTTTGTAGAAGTCTTTCTTTATATCATGGACTAGAATTACAGCTTTTCCTTGGTCATCAAACTGTGGTCTGCCAGCACGTCCCATCATCTGAAGTACATCTGCCAAAGAGACAATAATGTATAAACCAAATATATTCATTTAAATATATAAATAAATTTATTTATGTCTATACTACACGCAATACAGGATTTTTTTATTTCCTTGGCCTTGTACGCCCTATTGGTTTTGACACATCTAATTTTTTTCCATTTCAGATAAATTTTCAGTGAACTTCTTTCTGGCAGAGACTATCTTCCTACATACTTGACGACGACCCACTACAATAGAATCCAAGCTTACACCTAATATAAATTTCTTCTTCCTTTCTTCCAGTACACGTCCATCCCTTCTTTGATCATACACAATTAAACATGGTAAGAGAACTCATGAAGACTATGATGGAAAATGTCTATTATTTCCTAATTTTGAAGCATTTGACTTCATCATAATAAAAAGTCTCCTATAAGCTTTTCTGCTATATTTGATTTCCTAGGTTTTGAATAGCTTAAAGGAAAAAAGGTAAGGGCAGATTCTAATGACTGTCAGCTATGATCTTTACCACACAAACTTCAAGACAATTAATATTAGTTATTAGCACTGGAGGAGAGATGGTTTGTTATCATATGTTGTCTGTATATCAGTTCATCACATACAAATTTAAAAACAGTACAATCAAAGCTTATTTCTACTACTCTGCCTACACATCATTACTTGCAAATACTAGTTAATTATTTCTATAAACACTGAAAATACTAGTCTAGAAAAAACAAGCTTAACTTGCTACCCAGCCACCAAGATAAGTATGCTTATCATCTATTTGTTCATGTCTTCTCATAATCTGAGAAGTGCCTCTGCATAGGTTGTTTTGTGTCTCACTTAATGGAGCTCTGATTCCTTTTTGGTGCCTCCAACTGCTATTTAACTTTGAAGAAACAATAGAAAGCAATTAATAAGCTTTACATCTTTATTTCAAAACTTCTACTGTTTTGTGTATGAGCTCTACCATACCCACACAACATGTGGCTTGCAGTACCTGGCAGTTTGAAAAGCAATTTCCTTGGCTTCAGAATCGCTAAGCTTTTGGCGCAATGGTCAGTTGAGGAAGGAAAAGCCAGAGGGATACAGCAACACACAATGATAGGAGAAACAGCCCGATGACGATAAACAGTTTTAGTAACACATTTTCACTTGCGTACCCACATGCTGTATAGACAGCAATGTTTTTTATCAGTTTATTTCTTCTGTTAATTTAGGAGTGGCATGAAAATGTAAAATGAAACTAGTTTGAAAATGATGTTTCTGAATAGGTATGTGCACAGGAGGGTGATGAAACGACTTCTTGCTATTCTAATGTGGTGAATTAAATTGTGCATAATACTATATAGGGAACGGATTTACAAAAAAGCATCAGGAAATGATTTTTGCCAATATTCACTACATAATTATCTAAACCCAATATTTTCTTTACTGACTATATGTTGCTTGGCTGCTTTTAATCACTGGACTAAACTCCTGAAATATTAAATATGATCCAACTGGCTGACTAAATGTCTGGTAACTGAGAAAAGGCTCTCTCCACGACCTCTGACTTCACTCAAAGCAGCATTTTTACTTATTTTGAAATTACTGAACACTGCAGAATAATGCATTCTGCCCTCAGCTGCTTCCCTGGAGCCGTATGCATCCCTGATACAAAAAGGTAACTTCAGCAGGGAGAAACTAACTTATACCATGACAGAACAGTGAAGGCATTACTTGAGGGCAGCATTAAAGACACCATTGTGAAATTTTGGAAGAATTTCAGAAAGAAACTCATTACATTTTCATTTTATTGCTGCTGCAAAACTCTACTACCTATCCACAGAACTTCCAGATGCATAAATATTCTCTAGAATAAAAATGCTCTAAACAAACCATACCACATGTTTCTTCATAAAGTAAGGAATCTGCATTTTCTGTTGCAGTGCAGACAATAAAATATAAATGCTTCCACCACAGATAGTGTTATTCCATCCACCCCTTACACCCTAAATCTTATTAAAAATTCAGGAATCGAAGAACCCCCAATGTCCAAGTCACCTGAATTCAAAAAGGCAATAAAGAGTGAAAGTATAAGCATCCCCCAGAGCCTTTGTGAGTACTTGTACAACAGATTTCTAAAACAGCATAGTAAGTCTTCAGTGCTTATCAAGTTTCTGATTTCTTCTTGAATATACTATTTTCTATCCACAGATTTAAGATAAAATTTAAAACTTCAGTTGATTTCTTTCCTCATCACTGTTCCCCATTCAGTAATAAAGTCAGTTGTCGCTATTCTTCCAGTTGGGACGAGCGAGATACTACTGCTCTGCAGAGACTGATCGTACTAAGTTTACATCAGCCCAAGTCTGTCACAAAATGCAAGCGTGCATGGCTAAGCTTCCAGGTCATACCAGAATCTTTGAAGAAGCAAGCTCGTCTGGAAATTGATCCCAAGTTTCCTGCAGAGCACTAACCACTACATTAAGCTCTACGATGGTTTACTTGGAGAAGTAACCCCTGTAGTATTTTCAGTTTGAGTTTTTTTCATTAGTAAGCTTCTCTTGCTGAAAAGAAGGTGCATGGTTAAAAAGAAAAGATGCAAGCTCTCTATTTACATTACAAATAACATTTAGGTTGCCCTTACATGTACACATCTCTGGCATAGATTATTTAGGAACAAACTCTTGTGAAAAAAGAAAGGGAAAACAGCACAGGAAGCCTGGAATAAATTTAGTTTTTCCTCATTCTTCAAGCTTAGTAACATCCAGACAAATTTTTCCCTGTCTGAAGTCTGAAAGAAGTTCTTCCATGGTTCACTTTAAGCTTGTTGAAAACACTGCAGAACAGTTTATGTGCTTACTGGAGCCAGAAAGCAAGAAAAGTCTATATCAAACCAGAAATTCAAATATTTAATTTAGCTGCTTATTTTTGAAGTATCACTTACTTGAAGTGTCACTTACATCACTGAAGATACTAGACTAGGTATATTTTTTCGTTTACTGTCAAGTGACTACATATAAATTTTATGTTCTCATACACATGTGATTCAACTGTCGCATTTCAAAGCATGGCTAAGTTTACTGTTAAAAATCTGCTTCTATTTTAAAAAGGTTTCAAAAATGAAAAAATTATTTGCATGCATGAAAATTTCCTTTTATACAATTAACTAGGTAGCTAAATATGACTTTATATTGTCCCTTTAATTGTTTAATGTCTATTTTGGATTATACACATTGAAGGAATTTAGCATGAAAAGAGATCTGCAGAACAGCAACATTTTCATTATGAATCAAATTCTTAAAAGAGTTACCTTACAACTTGCATTAAATAATGAAACCCTTTCCTCAGCACTCCTAGTCTCTACCCAAATTAGGTGTTTTCAGTGATCAGATACTAAATAATTCAGATCATTTGCATGTGCTTGAAATACAGTTCAGCATATGACCATTTCCATAATTTATGTGAGTACCTGTAATGGGATAATCCACGTAACGCCTTGTTTTTCCATCATAGTATTCTGTTCCTTTAACAATTACTAAATGAGCTGGAAAATTTACACCCCAAGCTAATGTGCTTGTGGCAATAAGAACCTAAAACAGAAAGAAAGATTAATGAGGTATATGTAACAAAAAGCCAACTTTTAAAATTCCATGTAAAACTCATTATGGCAGGATTCAAACAACAAATGTACCTGGATTTTGCAGTTCACAAACAATTCTTCCACAGTTTTCCTGTCTCTTTCATGCAGACCCGCATGGTGCATGCCTATTCCAAAAGCAAGCGTCAGCTTCAGATTTGAATCTCTCACTGTCACTATAACGTCATTCATCTGTAACAGAAATAATAGTTGCATGTTTTAAAATGGATTACTCAGAAATTTAAAACTTCTAGGGTTGTTGTTATCTTTTTTTATAGCAAGGATAATTTGCTTAATGCTGTTTATACAAACAGAAAAATACATTCTTCAGTCACTGAACAGTCTGGTTTTAGTATAAAAAATATTCAAAAACTATATTCATGATGCGGGGAATACAAAATGCACGTGACTTTATTGACACTCTAAGTAGCGCAGACAAGGAAATGAAAATGCTGAAAATATCTTGGCAGGTCTGGCAAATGCTGTGCATTCTGCTCTGTGTTTGTTTAATGCAATCCCTAGTATCAAAGGGGTTTGAACTGGTATAAAAACATAGCAAATCCCTGCAAACAGTAACGTAATAGCAGTAATGAAAAATAACTTTGTCTCTCTCTAATGCCTATGAAAAGGCAGACACAGTTCTTCAGACTGATAATTCTGCAATTAATATTAATCAAAAAAGTTTCCTATTCACATGCTGAAATGCAAATTAATTTCAAGTATTTTTTGAGAGTTTGTAATTTATAGACCCAAACCCTGTAGTAAAACAAAATATACAATAAGTGTCTTCATTTAAAACATAAAAGTCCAGACAAAAAGCTATTTTCTATTACTATTACTATTTTTTTTCCCAATTCTCCTGTCAATGACTGCTTGGAATAATTTTAACTACTACAACTTTATTTCTCAGCTATGTTTTCAAGTAGTAGATTCCATAATAAGCTCATTTATTTCAGTAGGTGACCTCTGTGAGAAGCCTCTCACTAATAATGAACAAGAGCTTTATAACTTCTGTCTTGTTTTGTGATTAAATTCAATATTCATGCTGTTGTTTTATTGCTAAAAGCATTTATTATTTTATGTGATTTTAATATAATTATAGCCAGGAACTTTCAAAACTCATCTCTTATTAGTGGTTTCCTGGTGCCACCAGCAGTGGCATGATGATATTGCATACTTATGGGCAGCATCATCTACCGTTAACCTAGAAGGTATAGCCAAGGTTAGAGAAAAAGTAGTAGTGCAGATCAAATTACCCAGGGTAACCAAAAAATCTGGACTGACTATTCAGCCTCATCTCAAACTCAAAGTACTCAGATATGCTACCTGCATGACTGCAGCAATATCTTCATTTCCACTTAGGACTTTGAGGTGCTGCGCTTCCAATGTTCAGAATTGTAAACTTTTCTAAAGGTTTCCTGGGTTTTACAATTCTCAGACCTTATAATTAATAAAATTATTGACATATCTAAACCCAAGCAACATATGTCACTATTATTAAAAAATAAAAAATCTTTAAAAGGTACAAAAAAGCCAGAGAACAGAATAGTTCATATTCAGGATTTTTTTTTTAAAACAACCCAAACAAAATAGATTTTGTAACTCAATTGATTTTGTCAGGAAGAGCAAATAACAAAGCATTTTGAAAAGTCTGTTTGTTGAAGTAGTATTGACTAACAGAACCAGTACTGATGGAAGTAACATAGAACGCAATTAAAAAAAAATACTGTTCAAGGTTTGGGTTGGTCCAATCAATCTGATCTGTCAATGGAAGCTCCTAAACTTTATTTTCCTTTGTTACGCAGTTTCCTGGATGCTCCTGAGAGTTTTCCTGTATTATGAGATGTGGAAGGTTTGTTGTACAAACTGAGCTGCTGTGTATAAAAGAAAAGGATGTTTAAAGAATAAAAGAGTGAAAGGGACTATAAAACAGTGAAAGGAAATGAAGCAGAAATGAAAAAGCAATGAATTGAGAAGTGGAGAGGGGATAAGTCTGTTTAGGAAAGGGAAACAAGGAAAGGAGTAGATAAGTAGAAAAGAGCAAAGAACTGAATGAAAGCAGGATATGTTAAAGGATAAAGTTTATCTATATAGATATGATCAGCAAACCTTTGATTTCTCCAGTCAACATACAGACATGTGACTGCAGTGTAGACAACATGAATTATGACCCATCTTAAAGATTTTTTTCTTCTATGACAAACATAGTTTGATAAAATGAGAACCTGTTTTCTCTACAATTATGAACATCAACATACATTACTAAATATATTTCTGAACCTATTAATAATATGGATTTATGAAGTGGTACTAGCACTACAGGCTTGTTACGCTTAGATAGACATTTTGAGAAATAATAGTTATATGCATACATTTGACAGGGAATTAAGACGAAAAAAGTAGAAAATGGCACTGGTAACTATCAGAAAAATAAATGAAAAAACTAATGAATTTACATTTTTCTCAATTTCTGCATTCCAAAATTGACAAAAATATATTATATTGCTGAATTAATTTTTCTCCTCCGCACCAAGAATCATCACCTTATTATAGTTATGCCTTTAATGTAAGGGAACAAGCCAGTTCCAATGACATTTTATTTCATTATTCACATGAGCGGAATTTGATATTGGTAAAACAATGAATGTAAGCTCTCTTTTCCTCTAGAAGAGTACAGAGGTCAAATTAGCTGATTTGGATTAGTCTATAGCGATTAGACTGCTCCTTCAGCACATGCAGTTGTACAGTGCTATTTTCAGTACAGAACCCGAGCTAAACCATTTTTTTGCCATGTAGTTGCCAGCATAAACCATCCTAAATCCACACTGCTGGGAATTTATTCGAAGATGTTCTTCTTGCTTTTACAATCAGTGGTGATTATTTTTTTTTCCCTCTGACTTGTATTACAGCAGTGGCCTGTGGTGCTGTTAGTCATACCTGCAAAGCAGTGTAATTTACCACAGGAAAACTGAAGAACCCATAGCAGGAGAGCTGGAGCATGTACTACTATCCTGTCATTTTAGCAGCAGGGAATCCTAGTCATTTTTAGCTGACCCCTTACTTTCACATAAATCAATGTAATAAACACAACTATTTTACCCACAGGCACAGTTGAAGGCCTAAAATTCTCATGATAATTTATTTAAAAATATAACTCTCTTATGTCAGTGCAGTGTAAGAACATTATCACTTTCTATTAAGAAATAATGGCGCAATTAATAGGTTCATTAACTAGAAACAGACACACCATGGTGACTATAAAACAAGTCTATTGTTTCTGCATTGTTAGAACTTCATTACTATTCATCTTTCTGAAAACAATTGTAATGTTAACTCATAAAAGGGTAAAGAAAATATATTTTACCTTAAGAACAGAAAAAGTATATTAAGAATAACATAAGGAAATATACATGGTACTGACATAAAAAAATGCACATCACTGATGAGAGAAACTTAATGCAAGGGGGGATTTTTCCCTGGACTCAGACAGGCAGGATTGGGCCCATGCAGAAAGGTTTTGCTATACTTCACAGATTTTTGGATGAACAAACAAAAATACCTCCTGTGCTTTCCTGACATTAGGTTGATTAGCAATCTACCTTTTAATAAAAAAAAATCCTTGAAAACCAATTTGGGACTCTGGTAGCATTGGAAAATATTTATTATAAAAAATAAAGCTTATTACTACCTTTTATATTCTCATCTCTGAAGAAACTAGATTTTTCTCAAACTAGTAAGTAGTCATATTCTTTGTTCCTGCACATATGTAAACTGTTGAACCATTTACTTTAAGCTAATAGAACTTTTTTATATTTTAAATTTATTATACTTAAAAAGCTTTTGTAGAAAGATAGGATTCCATTTAAGTAGATACATTACCCTGTGCCTGAAATACATTCCAGTCAGAGTATAATTCAGCAAGTTGATGACAATGCTGGCTCCAAAAGAAAGGAGGAGACCAGATTGGACAAGAATGAGCTAACAGATTGTGCAGCCCAATTCTGTCCCTTTGAGTGTGATATATTGTTTCAAGATGCTAAAAACCCATACTTTCTCAAAGCATATCTGTTGTGCTGGTTTTCCCATTTTCACAGAATCCTCATTATTAGTACTCTGTACTCTTTTCAAAGCATGTCAGACTCAGACCATATGCCACTGAATAAAGCTTATCAATTGTCTAAAATGCCCAATAGAAGAAAGATGTGCCAAACAAAAGAATCGTGAAAGTTATGAAGTCTTTTACAAAAATAATTACATATTTCACATCTGCTACAGATGTTAAGTGAAATAAAAACATCTCCTTGTTATAACGAAATGTTAATTTTTTATGATACACTTTTGTGTCATAAAAAGAACATCTTGTAGAAGCAAGTTGAACTTCTATAATGAGCAAAACACTTAAAAATCATTCTTGGGCACCTTCCTAATCTTTAAATGCATAAAAAAAAAGTCATTGTATAAAATTATTTTTGATGAAAAGCTGACATCCTCATACTCCAGAATTCTCCTACACAAACAACATGTCTAAAACACCTCAAATGAGATTATTCAAGAAACATCTTAAAATATGGTTTAAACAGTTGAGATCTATTATGAAAACATAAACAGTTAACACTAAAAATCTCATCTAAAAGACAGCAATATACCTATGCATGACACAGACCAAATTCTTCTATTCCTGTTTTATAGCACAGCATTACCTCAGAACTATAATATGGAGAAAGTAGGTTATTTGATTTAAAGGTTAGAGAACGAAAAGTCATCTTTCATCTTTCCAACAGTTCTTGGGATTTTTTTTTTGTTTGCCTGTGTTTCTTTTTTAGCAATGCAAAACAGAACTGCATGGTAAAATTTAATTAACTTTCATGCATATTTTTATGCATGTTTCCACATAGTGTATGAATATCCATAACTAGCTCATATGTGTTTATACACTCATATCTCTAAAATCACAAAATCAGATAATGGACCTGATTAATTTTTTCCGAGTCAGTGAATTCCTTTCATTCAAGTGCCCTTGAATTCAGTGGGAGCTGGCTATTGCCTGGTATAGATGCTGTTGAATATTACAGTAGGTATGTTTGTGCTAACGGATTTTAGTTATTTCTAGAAGTTTCATAAAGAACAGTCATAACAAGATGCAGATGGTAAAATGATGCACAAAGCAGAATGCAAAAAAATAATTGTGGTTAAAATTAAAACTGTGTACATGGCTACATTTCTTCTCAGCCTTTGCACTGTAAGTATATATATAAAAAATTAAAATCCAAGTATTTGGTCAAGGAATAAATTTCTTTAAAAGAAAAAATCCAGACCCAAATAAGAAAACACTCTGCTTGTTTGTTGGTGAGAACTGCATTCTAACTTCAAACAATAAACAATAAATGCTTTTAGGTTAAAAAAAAAGCAGTAAAAACATTAGAGAAAAATAAATAAACTGAAAAATTGATTCTAATAAATTATGTTGTAGAAAAATTGCAACATCTGCTGCCACCACAGATGTAGATGCAATTTCTGAAAGAGAAGGACATGCCCCTCTTTAGTCAGCTCCTAATGCAAAACAGTACAACTGATCTTAACCAAGCTTACCATCACAAACTGGTGGCACTGGTGGCACTGTCTGTTTCCAAAAGGATAATCTGAGCTGTTGTTCCTTTAACAAGTGAAGTATTGGGTCACAAGTGTGAACATGACAGTCCTGGCTGACAGCTCCAAATTAGAATTTTAGCTAGAATGTGTGTATTTAAAAATCAGCTAATGATTATACAAAAAAGCAGGGCAAGCATAAAGTTTTCTTGTTTTTTCATTGGTACACTGGCTTCAATGAACAATAAAAAGAAATGAAGAATGACTCAGTTTACAGGGGCAGTCTTCTCTTTGAGATGCACTGCCTATTCACAGTTCTGTCATGTGGCACCTGTGCCTCAGAAGTACAACCAGGACAATCTTTACAGAGTGTTGGCTGCTGAAGAGTACTTGCAACTACTGCAAATGGCAGGGAAGACACCTTCAGCTGAAAAATAAACTGTTGGGACTGCCAATCCTAAGAGGGATAGAGAGCTCATTTTGGAATGTGTATGGACAAAGAAAAAGACCCCATCTCTAAGGCTCTAAAATAGGTAACTATTTTTTCTTCCTCAAGGGACTGCCCACTCATAGTCTACATTGGACAAACTGTGGCAGTCCTGCTTAAATCCTGAAGAACTTCTGCATGTGCTATGCATAGCAATTGGCAAACGTAGGGATGAGCTTTGAAGCTTCAACACCAAATTACAGTAAGTAGTTACTTCAGCATTGTTGGAGGTGTTCTTGCTCAGACTAAACTAGACATGAGGTATTTGAGCGGACATTTCTTCATAAAAAACATGCACACAGCCTGAAACTTATTTGGATACAATCCTTTAAACTATTCTAACTATTGCTGTGCAATAACGGGTACAGTAGAATGCAAAAACTTATCAGTACTAGAAACAGCAATTTTCATCATCTTAGGAAGACTGACTACAGAATACCTTCCAACTTTCTGAATACCTTAGGTACGTGGATATGAGTAGGAAACTGTACAACAGACATGACATTCAAGGAAAGCATGCAGGAAGAACCATTTCCAAAACTGAGCAGAACTGCCTGTAATACATATTTTCAGTAGATGAATGTAGAACAAAATTCCTTCTCGACTATAACTCAGTTGCACCTGTTAGACTACTGACACCTTAGAAAGTCAGAAAATCTTGTATGATTCCTCCATGATCCAGGTATGCTGTTGTCTCCTTTGGTGGCAACAGCTGAAGGGTTGTTTCTGCACATCATTTATACATACAAGTATGTATTTCAGAAGCTTTATGTCCTTTGAAATATAACAATTTCAGTCAGGAATCATCTGAATTTGATACTTGGAGGTGGGTAGCAGAGATGGGGGTCAATTTGCCAGTTATCTGAGAGCACTGTGAAGAGCAACAGTCTGGACTTTTGCAAACAGAACCCTTCGCATGCTGTAAATGAGGGCCTGGTTTGGCACTACCACTACAGAAAGAATCTCTCTAGAGAAGATGAGGGAAGCTAAGATAATGGCATAAATGATAAATAGGTACCAAAGATCCAGTGTTGGTCTCTCTCCCTCACTCCAATCCCAGCCCCACAATGCCTGAATCTCTCTGTTACCATCACAGAGTAGCTGCCATGCAGGGTACAAGGGAAAAATAATCTGTGACTACCTCAATATCAGTCTTCCAGACATTACTATGGATGGCATTGTTTACAGCATTTTAGGAAGCCTTATGAAGTCTAACATTTGGCCATCATGTAGCAAAACCAGTTACACCATTAAACAAAACTAACCATGAGTTACCAAAGGAATCTTATGTCAGCCAAAATTAATATTGTACGAATAAGGTTGAATGAAGAAAAATGCCAAGGCCTATTGTAAGCTTGTAAACTTTGTATACACCCATTTATGAAATATCTCTTATATCTCAACATACTTCACAATAAACAATGACAAATATTTTGAATATAAAGTAATTTGTCTGGAAGTTGCCCTAAAGGAACACTGGTTGGCAAAGAACAAACATGGAAAAAGTGTCAGGCAACAAAAATTGTTGTTTAAAGGCAACAACAATTTATTTCTTCTAACTGGTCCATTTTTATCCCACATGGAATTAAGATACAGAATTGACACTTGAAATATCTGGGCAAGTGTTTAAGATATGAGAATACCTACTATAAAGCAGGGAATACCTAATATAAAGTAGTTCTAGTTCATTCAATAGTTCTACTTTTAATACTTAAAAATGTTATCGCAATATGGAATTAATTTTGTCTACTTCACCTAGTCCAAGAGTGACTTTAATATAAATTGAAGTAAGAATTTTTAAATTAAAAGGAAAAATTATGGGTAAGGAATTAAGCAGTACATGTATATACATAACACTATGTATGTAGCACTACTATAGCTTTGTCCTTTGCTTCAATGTCAAATGAAACTCGGACTTATCATGGTCATTTAAAACACAAAACTAAAACTGGTCCCATACTTACCTAAAGAATGTTCACTTGAAATTATGGGTACTTCAAACAGAACTGTGTTCTGTGTAATAGCGGTAAGATATAACGACTTAGGACTAAATCCTCAGTCTTTTATATTTATGTAATCAGAACTTAATGAGTTGCTAGGTATCTTATATACAAATCATATGCAAATATTATTAAACTAATAAATGCAAAGTCTGGTTGCCCTTGTTGGCTCCTGTTTCAAAACCTTCAGAGGTACATTCTGAAACACAGGAAATGCAAAGACTCCCAATAGAAAACCTTTTTCCAGCAAGGGAAGTAGCTTCAGTTACAGTTCTTTTCAGAACAGCAGTGGTTCACAGGATGTGAGGAAGCTATTCGTGTTAGGGCAAGTCATTTAGGGCAAGGTGCATGTTGCATATCCTCATTGCAGGTGAGATTACTACAGTAAACTAGCACAAGGTACTAAAGTACTCTGCTACGCAGAAATTCTTTTGATATGAAATGTTTCTGTTATGCTCAACGAAACATTAAATAGAGGTTATACATTTAGAAAAGCAGCATCAACTTCAGACATATTTTAATACCATTAGTTTATCTGCCAAGACATCCATTTTCTCTTTCAAAACCCATCCAAAGAAGGAAGGATACAGATGCTACGCTTTGTATCAGAAAAAGCTCACTGTATATTTTTTGGAAAGCATAAACAAAAATAATCTCATCTAGAAACCTATACTATTTGGCATATGAATTTTGGTAAACAATTGTATAATTATTCATACAACTGTTGATACATAAATATTCCTATAATATTCAATTTGGACCTTGTATTTATGAGTCATGCATTTGCTGTGTTTTGGCCCTGTATTATCACAGAATTTCCTATGCAGAAGGTCTGCAACCACTGAAAAAAGCTAACTTCCAATATCTATGAAATCTGAATATTAACCACAAAAATCGTTTTGAAGCAATGATATACTATAATCAGGACCATTAGTCCAGAATGAAATAAATAATTCAGTATTCAGAGCAGGTGCAGAACCGAGTGCAGTAAATAAAATCAAGTATATATTTTGAAGAATGCAGAAAAAAAGAGAATATTGAATGGTTGTTCATTATTTGATCACCATTCATATTTTGGAAGGATTTTTTTGAGAAACAATATAAGAAAATGTAATTAAATACTATATTCCTTTAAAAAAGAATAAAAAATTAAACCTTTACCCTAGAGGCGCTTAACATCTGAGTGTCTGACATTGTAATCTTTATCTTTTTATAAATAAAGATATTGGCAGAAGGTATCTTTTTTTTTTATAACATTGACTTATTTCATTGATATGCAAAACTGAACCACTCCCTAAATGGTTGGTTCTGCAGTATATATGTGTGTATATATATAGATATGAATATAGGTGGATAGACACATGTATACATATGTACACATATACACACAGATATATATGCATATACATAACCCTGTACACCTGGAGTTATGAGAACGAAGATTTTGCTCCTAAAACACTGAGAGAGAGCTCAACATCTATATGTCACAGATTTCCAGCTGTACACTCTGGAGAACACTATTCCTCTGACCTATCTTTGTACCAAAGACTTGTATCATGTGATATATGTTGTCTGGGTCAATGGAACTAATGTTAATAACAGGTATGCAGGAAAAACAAAGATAAGAGTTTGCATTCTAAAGTTCAGATCTTGCAAAGATGCTTATATAGTCAAAGCTAACACTAGTTTAAATACATATTGAAGTTTAGCATATGCATAGGTGTTTCAAGATCTACCCTAAAATGACTCTTTTGCTTTAGATGCATTTTCCTTTCAAACAAACATCAATAAAATAGAAGTGAAGCACAAATAATGCAGGTAAAATGATTCTACCTCTCTTTCATCCATCTTCAGCCATTGTTTGGGATCATCCTCAGTGGCTAGGAAAGCTATCAGGTCTAAAGCAGTAAGCCTTGTCTGACGTCTGGATGACACAAAAATAAGAACTGGCTTGGCTGGAGAATGACTCCGAATTGCTGTTGAGGAACATAGAACTTGAGAATTAGGCCCATTAGTGAAAAAAAACCACAGAGTTTCTCTTTGCAATACCTAGACAGCTGATGCTCCTCTCTGCAGATGATACACAGGTATGTATACTTAGACTCTGTTCTGGCAGATAGATAAAACTGAGGTGAGCATACATCACCTTTGAATCACAGAATCACAGAATGTTAGGAGTTGAAAGGGACCTCGAAAGACCATCCGGTACAACACCCCTGCCAGAGCAGGATCACCTAGACTAGGTCACACAGGAACGTGTCCAGGCGGGTTTTGAATGTCTCCAGAGAAGGAGAGTCCACAACCTCTCTGGGCAGCCTGTTCCAGTGCTCTGTAACCCTCAGAGTAAAAGAGTTTTTCCTCATATACAGATTGAACCTCCCATGCTCCAGCTTGCTCCCATTGCCCCTTGTCCTCTCATTGTCTGTCACTGAGAAGAGCCTGGCTCCTTCCTCCTGACACTTGCCCTTTACAAATTTATAAACATTAATGAGGTCACCCCTCAGTCTCCTCTCTCGACCTACTCACCACACCCCTTCTGATACACACCAGGATGCCATTGGCCTTCTTGGCCACAAGGGCACAGTGCTGGCTCATGGTCATCCTGCTGTCCACCAACACCCCCAGATCCTTTTCTGCATGGCAGCTTTCCAGCCACTCGTCCCCAAGCCTGTAGTGCTTCATAGGGTTATTGTGCCCGAAGTGCAGGGCCTGGCACTTGGCCTTGTTGAAGCTCATACAGTTGGCCTCAGCCCATTGATTCAGCCTATCCAGGTCCCTCTGCAGAGCCTTCCTACCCTTAGGCAGATCAGCACTCCCCTCATGCCGATCACTGATAAAGATGTTAAACAGGACTGGCCCCAAAACAGAGCCCTGGGGAACACCGCTTGTGACTGGTCGCCAACTGGATTTAGCTCCATTCACCACAACCCTCTGTGCTTGGCCATCCAGCCAGTTTTTAACCCAGTAAAGCGTATGCCCGTCCAAGCCATGCCCAGCCAGCTTCTCCAGAATCAAACATCTTATAACTGCGCTTAGCTGAGTCTGAGTTAATTTGCTCTGCTGCTTCAGTAATAATTTTAAGCTAAAGATTTAAGAGAAGCAGTTAGGAAAAAAACCCACCAAAGCTCCAAAAAACCTGGACAAGCTTCCTAGACTTCAAAGTTTGTGAATTTCTCTATGTCAGTCTAAGAATGTTATGTTTTTTCTACCCTATTGGGATATTTTGTCTCAGGCTAAGTGCCATCAAGGTCCAAAACTTGCTTTCTGCCTGACCCAGAGCTTAAACTGCATAAATTCACATCTGCCTGCAAAAGATCTCCTCAATCTACCGAAACCAGAAAAGGCAGAAAGTGACTTTCCAATAGATAGTGTGAACTAGTAGGCATTATGGTACAAAAGAACTGGGTTTCTGTTTTTTACTAATTAGTATGATATATTTAAATCAATTGTGGTTTAGGACTTTTTAAAAAAGCTCAGCCCATGTTTAAATGTTTCAGGTTGCAGAAAAATTTTTATGGTCTCAGGAATAAGTATTGTCATGAAAATGCTAAAATAATCTTGACTATATCACATCAAACAAGTGGGGAAAGAAGTCCTCAATAAATCATATGTCTACAGATTTTCTAACATTAACAAGCACTAGAAGTATAAACAGGTGCATGTAGAATTTCAAATACTTTCTTTAAATCTCTTACAAATCCATTTGTGTGTTTTCTCATGTAATTCTTGTTCTAGCAATTAAATTTATGCATTATTAATTTCTGAAAAATATTTCATACTATCAACCACTGCATATTGTGCCCCCATTCATGAATACTACTGAGCATGTGCTCCTGCATATACACACACTATCCAGTTGTGAAATTATTGAAACAGGATAATTCATGTGTATTTATACCTTTCAACTATATATGCCAATATATCCATATATTTTAAAGGCCTAGCATCTAATGGATTTTTGTTGCTTCAGGAACAGGTGTGGCAGAACAGCCCAAGACAGATTTATTGTTCATTAGTGTTTTTGTACAATGCTCTTGTGGAGGTGTAAATAATCTGAGCTGTCAAGATTGGTCTCCAGTCCACAATCAATACTTTGCTTCTGTCATAAGGCTAATTAAAGCAGCTAAAAAGTCACCTCACAAATGTCACCTCACAATCAACAGCAGTTCACGTTGCAAAATTTATTTTGGAGGTTATTTTTAATTGATATAATAAATATTCCTTATGTAATGAAAACAAAACGTTCAAATAAAATATGAGAGCTTTTCTTAAATGTATCCTGCTTGCTTGCTATATTAAGAATAAAAAATTGAAAACAGAAGCATATCTGGATGCACTACAAATTTTGAATTTTATGGTTATTGCTTTGAAACTAGAATTATAGGAGGTTAGCCTGACTTGCAACTTCGGTTCACAATTTTTTTAATGCTTACGTACAGTGGTTCATATGAAAATACCTCAGCAGATTAACAATATGAATGGTTTTATGCAGATTAACAATATGAATGGGTTTATTACTTTCTAAATTTCAACTATTTTAACACAAACGTTTCTTTATGGTGTCAAACACTAAGAGAAAACACATTTGATTTCCCCTTCATTAGCATTAATTTTACTCTTCTGTTTTAAATACATTACATTCCACTGTTATATGTTGCATTTGCTGCACACTTTACGTTTCAGACAAATAGCTTTGGGTCATTAGAAGAGCAGATTCCTCCTATACATGTCAAGAGTACATACAGTAACACATGTTGTAAATGTGCTGCAAATGAACTGTGTAAAGTGCTCTAAGACTTTATTCCTTTTACAGAAGGAAGGAAAAGGTCTGGGAACTTGTTGCTTACCCTGAAATGCAGGTTTGTTCATGCTAGCCATGCGAGGACAGTAATGCTGGCCAGGGAACCCCTGAATGTGTACCTCCAGAGGAACTGGGCGTACTGATGGTCGGAAGTTGAACAGACCCATCTACAAGGAAACATTTTTTTCCAAGTTTAACCTTGAATTATCTTACAAATTGCTATTTGTTTTTCTGCAGCACAAATACATATCCATCTTCTGAAACTTTATTCATACCTGATTAATATTTAGCCAGTCAGCAAGGTCTCTAGCATTTGCTAAAGCAGTGGATAAACCAACTACTCTTACAGGCTTCTCTGTGTGAGACGAAATGAAGTTTGTTCGAGACACAATGACTTCCAATACTGGGCCTCTCTCATCCCCTAGTAAGTGAAAATTCCATTGAAAAACAGAGAAAAAGAAAAGTTCCAGATGTCAAAAAGTAGATTTATATCATGAGTACCAGCACACTTTAAATTTAGCAATGATTCTAATTAAAAACAACAAAACATGCTCACCTAGCAGATGGATCTCATCTATGATAAGAATGGAAACTTTCTGAACATAGCTTCTGTTCTGCCAGCTTCTGCTGACCCCATCCCACTTCTCTGGGGTAGTAACGATCAGGTCAGCTTGGGCAATAGCTCTCATATCAGGAGTCACATCTCCTGTCAACTCTACAACCCTGCAATCAAGAAAGACGGTGGCTTGGCTTACAAAGCTTTAGAACATCTTAATGTTCAAATGTTAACTCCTAAGCATTAATTTCTAAAAGTTAGAAGAAACAAAATAAAACAAAGTAATATTTTGAAGTAAATAAACCTGTGTCTTTGTTTTCCTAGCAAATACCATAAAAATATCAAATAGCATTCCTTAGCAAAACCATATAAAAAGAAGGTGAATATGAGTCCCAAACCATCTATGGTTAATTTTTCAAAATTATGATAATAGAAGAATATGAGTATGATATAATGTGAATCATAACATCCTGTCATAGCCAGGATGAAAGCTTTCTCCAAAGCTACCAAGTTGCTGCCTGCTGCTCTGTATAGATCTCTGGTTTGAATAATGAGGCTAGATTGCAGTGTATCTGCATTTGTTGGTGAAGTTCCATTAAGACTGGAGCACAAAATATCCTGAGGTAATTTTCTGGGAAGATTAGCTGGGTTTTTCCAATTGTTTGCCTATTGAAAGGATTTCAAGTTTTACAAACAGCATTTGAGATGACCCATCATTTTAGACTGAGTATAATGGATTTTTGACATTTCTATGACACATACTACATCCAGTTGAACATCTAATAAAAGTTCCTCAAAGTAATGTGTATCTTCTGTTAAAAATTTCAGCCATAAGTGATAGAGTAAATTTCAAAAAGCAAAATATTTTAAAACTATGAGGCAAATAATGTATCCTCACAGGCCATTTAAATAGAAAAAAAAAATTAAAAATATTGCCAATTAATAAGTCACTGCTATGATAATAGCAGGAATCTCACTGGTAATTTAATGTACACAGAGTAGCAATTGATACCTGTGGTGTGCTTTGAGCTTTAACCGACAAAAAAAGCTATATATAGGAAAGGAAAAGGCCCTAAGTAATGTATCCTATGGATACAAGAAAATGTAATTTTGGAAAGGACTGTTATACCTTATATGTGATAAAGTAATGGCTGAACTCCAAAACTTAAAAACATCAGAAAGAAATTAATGTTGCCAAGGAATAAAATGATATCTAATTTATATATGAAGGACAACATATGAATACTAGTACACAGTTCATGCAACTCCTATGAGTTCCTTATAGCTGACGTTTCTAAAGAGTGCTTACTTTGGATCACAATTTCTATTTCCAACAATACTGCAGAGAGAAATCTGAGCTTCATATTTGTTATACTGACAAGTAATGAGAGTGAAAACAGCTGGGTATCAAAGTGTATCCTTTTGTTTCAGTTTTGATTTTGCTATCACTACAATGACTATTAATTTTTATTTAGTAAGTACTAGAAATTTGAAGGATAATATACTCTCAAAATCTATTCTGAAATACTCAAAAGAGTTCTGTAGATTTCATTCATACTTGATGGACTGTTCTTTTGCTTCTCATTTCTCTGATTAGGTAAGGAGAAACATACTTTTTACCAAGTTTTTCTTCAATCCTAACTTTCCAGTCCTCAATTCTTTCACGAACGAGTGCTTTTAAGGGTGCGATATATACTGCCTGCAAAAGCAAAGTCACAAAACCAGAAGTAAACAAGAAACCTTCATTAAAGTGTACATAAAAGGAAAAAATTATTTAATACTTGTAAGATTTGAACATATTCATTATCTATCAAATGATTAAGGCCTGAGATCCTTAAACGACCTACAACACGTTTATAGTTAAAACAGATTTAACACTTGAAAACACTGTTTTATTTTCTGAGCCATTAGCAAGTGAATAAATTAAGAAAAAGAAAGACCAATTTCTTGAAGTATTTATCACACCATTTAATATCAAAACTCACTTCTAAGTGAGTATAATGAATGCCATTTTTGCCAGGACTATAAAATCTGCAAACTAAGATTATAGAACGGAAATAAGAAGAAGTTCCAACAAGCAATATCTTAGCTGATTTCTAGTTATGTTGTTAAACTATTAATACATTACCAATTAAATACAAAAAAAGATTCTAAGCAAAATGTCACAATATTTTCCTCAAAGAAGTTTGCTGTGCAGCGTAGAGCAGTCTGACATGTAGAAACAATAACTATTTACAGATCTATACTTCAATATTCTGAAGCTCTTGAATGTGAAGAAACTGCTACATGAAGAATTCACATACATTCTTGAAAATGTACAGCCAGGTTTTCAGTTTCATTAATACCTAAAAGACATATTATTTTGAGAATTGGCTATTTTATTAGTATATTGATAAGCTGCAAATGTATGAGTGTCCTGTTTACCTCGCTTGGGCTAACAAATTACATGTTGATATTGAAATTTCAAAGATGAGTAAGGGATTTACGTACATGATTTCTGTTAATTTCAAGGGTTATTTTTGGTTAAATGCTGCAGTCAGATATAAATATCTTTTTCAAAGACTTTAAAGCTGAAGTGTGGTTAACTAAGACAAGATGGCTAAGTCAAGATACAGAGATATATTCACTTTGAAAACAAAACTCCAAATGCCAAGTTGTTCAGATTTTAGACAATTTAAGAAAAAAAACCACAGGGACAAGTTGTAGCAGAAAAATTGGCTTGTAGTAAGTTATTTGTTTAAATAAGAGATAGACTAAGCTAGTTGTATTCACATGGAAGGGAATTACTAGCTATAAAACAGTACTACTGCCAGTAGAAGGAGACTAAAGCAGGAAATGCTGGTAAGTAGAGAAAAGGAAATCCTGCATGCCTGTATGTCATGTTCTTAGATTTAACTGTAGTTGTAGACTGATTAATATATAAAGTTGAAATAAAAGCATAATGTACATAATGCAGTACCATTTTGTATCCAGACAGGTATAAATCGGAGAAAGCAAAATTCAGTTTGCCATAGTCTTTTTCTAGGCTTCTGTATTGCTGAAAACATGCCTACATAAAACGATCCTAGTAAACCTATTTTACAAACCTTTGATGTGGGATATTTGTTAAAAACTCTAAAGATGGCTAATTCAGCTGCAACAGTTTTTCCAGAACCCGTAGGTGCTCCGAGAAGAACATTACAGTCTGTGTGATAAAGTGTATGAAATATCTGGGTCTGGATAGGGTTGAAGTGTGTGAATTTGTACAGGACTTCATATTCCCGATGTCCCAAGGCTGTGATAGGCAATGGCTGAAGATCTAGAAGCTCTAAAAACACAAAATAATTGTAAATGCATGACAAGAGATGCCATGACATAACATAGTTTATTATGAAGATAAAGAGATTAATCAACACTTTAGTGGAAAACAACTTACATTGGCAATTCTTTTACTTAGTATCTCATATCTATCTTAGTATCTCATATCAGGGTCCACATTTGGGTCACTGTTAAATTTGATGAGAAATAATGAAAAGTTGATTTTATAGCTCTGAAGTATTTCTGGAAAGTGCTGTTGTTAGTATTCTGATAGCTACAAACCAGCCATTTGCATAAATTAATCTTTTTCTTAAAGCTGTTTCCTTTTTACCCAGTTATAGTAAGTTCTAAACTCATTCTATCAGATTCTATGCATGTCCAGCTTCTCATGATAACAGAATGTGGAGTCAGAGGACAGCATAATTCATAGAAGGAAGGATTCTTTGGAGTTTTTAAGTTGATGGCATAATACAGATCAGACGAGTGCAACTAAATATTGCATCTAATCCTTTAAACATGTAATTAAAGACATAATTTCAATAAATAAGCAAACAGCCTTTCAATATATGACTCTCAATATATCTTGAGGGCATCTGCTATCCAAACAATTAGAGACTGTGGTATTTGGAAGATGATATATATAACCAGATTGGATTTGGAATCCTACCAAATTAAGGAGACTGCAGTGATTCTGTGATGCAGATGCTGGCTTTGAAGTTTGGTTTGGGTTTTTTTTCTTTTTTTTTTTTTGTGGCTAGAGGTCTCATTGTCTTTTCAGGGTGCTTCACATTAAGGTATGATATGGGAGTCATAAAATCTACTGAGGCAATGATGCCTAATATTCTTCACATGCTTTTCACCGATACCTTATGGCTGTTTTATAATTTCCACTGAAACTGTGATTTCTTGGGCTCTGTTGAGGAGAAATAAGTTTTTTTTGCCTAGAAGGGCCTCTACGTACTTCATTGTTGAGTGGGAACCAGATGGGAATAGAAATCAATTACCATAAATCCTAGAGGCTCCATAACTGGTGATGTGTAAATATCTTTCTGTTTCTTCTGAATAGTAGTCAGTGATCAGTCAATTAGATAAAAAGGTTACACATGCTTTTCCAGACAGCGTAGGTACAGCATAACAATAGCTAAACACTTCACAAACACATGTGAATTTATGCATGCCAAAAGACAACACCGTATGAGAACTGAGTATCTCTAACGCACTCACTTCGCAGACTGCTAGATGAGCCAAATGTAATTACAGTGGAAAGGTTTTACACTGACATCAGGCACAATGAATGTATAAGGCAATTTATGTATTCAGAAAAAAAAGAAGCAAAACACAAACATATGCTCCTGTGCCAAGGGTTAAAAAAGGAGGGGGAGGGGAAAGCCATGACTTGAGCAGCAGTGCTGAGTTGAAATGCGATGTTAAGTACTGTAACAATGCTTGCTATGATGAACTTATTTTAGTGAAAATAGTGAAATGTTTTGTATTCTCAAAATTTTAAATGTTTGCTTTTTCTATGCTGAATGCCACTTATAAGACAACCGTCCACTAAGATTATTTTGAACCAGTCCAGAAGAACTGTACTGCTTACAAGCACTAAGATAACACATACTGCAACATCGATATTAGCTTAGTTTTATACGACAGTTTCAATTTTCCTATGGTTTATAAAGAACCTGGAGTGACTAAAAGGCTAGTATTATGTTGAGATGAAATGAGCTGCTCTTTGCTCAAGAATGTGAAATTATAGAGAGCTTTTAAGTTAGTGAAGAAATGGTCTCAATAATACAAATACATCACGAAGTGAAATTCCATATACTTTTCTGTGGTGCAGCAGAACTTAAAACTTTTGCTGCAATATTACAAGGAAAATCAATATAAGCAAGATGAATTAAAACAAAACTTGTTTAAGCAAACTTGAAGTTACCTGTGTGGGGTGGATGTCTCTCTGGAAGAATCAAATGTTGAAAATTGATGATACATACAGCCTCTGCTCCTAACCATCTATCGGACACAGCTCGAATGTAATATTGAGAAGGAAGAGGTTCAAAAATTGGGATTGTGAACACCAGCAGTTGAGGTTCTTTAGTAATGACCTAATACAAATGTGTAGAGAATAATTACTGCACAGACAAATCAATAACTTGAAAAATCATAGTTTGCCTCACTTCCGTATGCACTACCAACAGAAAGCAATAAAGTATGTGTGCAACTCCATGTGCAAAATGTTCATATCTTTATAAAATATTACACCACTGGGAATGGATTTTGTAACCATAGGCTTCAAAGATAAGGCCGGCTCTTAATCTTTTTCTTTAACAGACAAAACCATTATAGTCTTTCTTTTTTTACCTGGAAATAGCTGTCCCACCAAAGGAGGAGAAAAAGGGATTATCTGAGGTTAGAAAACATCTTTGTGGAAGTCCAAGCTTATTATGTACATCTGAAACTGAAAGCTGTTCTACTGATCTGAAAATCTGCTCAGGTCAAAATAATGTTTGACCTAAAAAATCTGTATCTCACTAACTATATTTTTGTCTTGCTATGAGATTTTGAATAAAAACATTACCTGTTTCTTTTGAATAATGAAGTACTCTGAATGATAAATATGATCATTAGTAGGGTCTTCTACCCAAATCCACCAGGGCTCTCCAACAGTACCATGTACCTTTAAGAGTAGAAAATATAACATTGTTATAGTTGTAAGGAAGTTCTCTAGATGCTGGGTATATCAGATATATTTATAAATGACGCAGACTTACAAAGCAGTACAGAATTATAGAAACCTGAGGTAAAAGCAATATAACATTTCTAATTAGATCAGTCTGCTTAAAGATTATGTTCCAATAAGAGTTTGTTTAAGGTACGTATAATATAAGTGGACATGATACAAATGCAACTGAAGCTAGTGGCTCAGCTGTTTTTAAATAGACTGAACTCCCAGGATATCCTCTAGGCTCCTAAAAAAGGACTTCTTTTTCTGTACTTCTGTCTTCAGAGTCTGTGTAGAGGATTGTCTTTTGCCATCCACTGCTCAGTTTTCCATCAAAAACATTCTTGCAGGAAAAACTGGACATTGAATTGTGACATTCCTCTCTCCTCTCTTCCCCTCTCCTCTAGAAAGATACAGTAAGTGCATTCAGAAGGCTGTAGATCTGGTCACTGCTACAGGTGAAGTGAGAAGAACATAAAAGGAGCTGTCTCTTGATGATTCCTGTGCCATCTGGCAATATTTTATTCCATCCTAGATTTTTGTTGGCTTTGTTGTGACAAGGTACAGAAGCAGTATGAAGATGATAAAAAAGCTGGAATTATTCCTAAACATTAGTTAACAGGTAAAACCACAAAGTACATAGTTGCTTCTAATGACAATTTTAACACTACAGGAATCTGGTATTGATTCACACAGCACATTATTTTCAACATAATTTATTATTGTGTATGTACTGGCTTTTGAAGACAAAAATACGTAGTAAGAATAGAACTATGGTGCTTTTAACAAAGTTGCACAACAGTTAAGTAGATGGACAGTAAAGACACTGTCATTCATTTTCCTTATATTTGAATTTCACTAGCAGCTTCACTAAGAACCAGAGCAGTGAAAGCGTATACACACAGGACGCTGCAGGTGAGATTTTGAAAAATTACAGTGAGACTATTACTTCATCAGGCATTAGGAGAATTTAAGAGAGGAAAGAAGAAATAAGGGAGGTGATAAAGTTAAAAGCTCAGAAATGTTATTATCAACTGTTCCAGCATCTTAGGTTTGGACAGTCCTGTGACAAAGCTGCATAAGAAATAAGGGTGATGAGGGAACAGGAACACAACACACTCTTCTGTAACGATTCTCAAAAACACCGAGGAGCTGTTGAGAACTGCCACATACCTGTAATTTGGTCCACCATTGCCCTAAACCTGCACATCTGATATATGACTCAGCTAATTAACACTAGTTGCATTATTCTGTATTTCTGCTGGACTCCTCCTGGCTGCAGTAAGGTTTACTTGCTCTGTCTGGGGATGTCCCTTGCTTCCAACAATGCAATGAGAATTTTCCAGTGGGACATTGATCACAGGCTTTTGCTGAACTTAAAGGCTCCCAGCACTGAAAGCTGCAGCCATTAAAGATCAAGATGATGTCATATCTCATGACTACCAAAACATATCTTCCTCTTGCAAAGGCAAGTGCAAAATCTGTGATGAGATCATTCTAGAATTAAGTATCCAGGTAAAGAAACAGTCTTAAAACCATGAAATGTTAGCCAAGCGAGGTATTTCAGTTAAGTATGGTATTTAGATTTTTAATATTCTGATTTTATTTGACTATTCCCATTCTGTGAATGGAATTTTTTGGCAGTTAGTTTTGGTATCAATTACAGCTATACCTATAAGTTTCTATAGTGGCCTTCTTAGGCATCAGCTTGCTAAAATACTGTGTGATGACACGGAAGCAATTTCAGAGTGTCAATGGTTGAATTTAAAAGACAGTTATTAATTTTTAGAGACTATTAATATTTAACAGATCTGTTTATTTACTATGATGGAAGTTTCATTTACTGAAGAAACAAAAAATCAACAGCTACATTAAAAAAAATTACAAAAAAAGTTTTTCAAGCTTTGATGACTAGCAGTATGCAAATTCACATAAAAAGAACACCATAAGTTGAATTGATAAAACAAGCATCCAAAGCAACCATTAGGAAAACTGTGTCAAAGGGTCAGAGCAGAAAATAGAATTTTGACAGGGTTTTGCTATAACTTCAGAAGTTCAAAATCAAAATAAGAGAATGTAATTCTGTGAGGACCCCTTTTCAATTTGCAAAAATATAGAAGAGCCAAGATTTTGTAAAATATCTAAAAACTTTCTATATTTCGATCTCTCATCTCCCATTCATAAGCTAACTTGGTGAAACTTCAGAAGTTTCCCTTTAAAGCAGGGAAAATGAATTCTAAAATAATCTAAATGTTTGTGGAAGAAAACTCTAATTTACATGTGATTAAGGTAAATTTGTAATACAATATATTTTAAAATTATTTTTTTAATAAAAGAGCTGATACTTAATATCCACCTTTCAGCATTATTTATCTTAAGCTTAAATCTCCTAAGCATTAAAAAACCCACGCTTGCTCATTGAGGTAGCTTTGCCTTCTTTCTGTAGAAAGTTGCAAAAGTACCAGTAACAATACAATGCCCCCATGTGGACATTTGTATTTCATTTAGATTTATTTTAAATCTATTTCTAATGAACAGATTCTGAATCAAAGAGTGTGGGCATATCTAAATGTGCAACTAGCACAACTCCTTTCATATAAATTGCACTATAAAATATAGACTAATATAATCCTAAATGCATCTCAGTTTTTTTGTTTAGACAAGTCCCAATAGAAAAAAAATACGCACTGATGTGGATGTACATTTGTAAAGCCATAAAGAGCAGCATAACTTGGCATACATGAACTGTATTTCAAGGCTCTGTTTTCTGCGTATGATATTCATTCATAGTTGAGAGAGCCATCTGTGACTCCCTTTTTCTTGCTTCTCCTTTTTGGGCATATAACTCAAATCTGTGTGTGCCTACTATTTATATTCAATATAAGCACTTGCTTCAACATGTTACAAACAGCGCAATGCTGTAACAATTAATGGAAATCAAAAGATGATCTTTGACTGCTGCCTTCTACAAAAGTCTTAAGGGTCATTCCATTCCTATTATCAAATCTGCTTTTCAGCTAAAATAAGTGTTTTTTTCATATCCAAACAGCTATGGACTTCCTGTGATCATCTCCTTTACTGAAGCTAAATTAATGCATCCTGCTCTCCCACCCCCTCTGTTGTGTCTTACCTGATCGTTCCACGTGAAGTCAGGAGCAATGTTCAGCCGAACTCGGAGCACTGTGCGGGTAATTGGCTGAATCGTGGCTTCCATTATGATGGACGGGATTTGATGGACACATTGTTTTACCTTTAACCCAATTTTCACATGATGCAGCATATGACCTGCCAAGAAAACATTAGGTGTAACAAATTTGCATTTCCAGAAAAAATAATACAACTCCAACTTTCAAATGGGCTTTTACAGAGAAGTATTACTGCTTGCTTGTTTTGCTCGTAGGTACGTAAATGTCTGACTCTCTTGACCTGGCATGTCTGAATATTTTGTAATACTTAACCTGAATTAGCAATTTAGAGCCTAGAAAAATCAGTATTAACCCCCCCGTTGGCTATAACTAAGGGGTTAAAATAACTATTAAGAATTCACACTGAAAACATATTATGTAAAGCTAGTTCCCTTTCCTTTACTGACTTTTTGACCAGGCTCTTACCAAGCCATATAGTTCTTTTTAAAGGCATGAATACTAACCTTTTATTTAATGAAGGGCAAGCATTTGAACTTCTACAATTCCTGTGTAGTGATTCAAAGCAGACAGAACGTTTTTTGCAAAACTGAACAAAGGTAGTTAATAGCTTAAAATGCATGCAACTAGTAAACAACTCCCAGCAGCTCAGACTTTTCAGGATACACCAGCGTGTAACTGAGACAAAGGAAAAACTAAATGTTGCAATGGTTTTTATTTTCTGTCTCAGTCATGGTAACTGAGACAATAAAGTGATTATAATAATTCAAAAATTTCCTAAAAGAGCCATTTCTCTTGCTGTTCATTTTAAATATAAAACAAAGTACTTAGCAGTAATTTTTTTTTCCTGAAAAATATTGCAGCTTCTAGCTTATTTAAGGAAAGAAGGTTGATTTATCAGATTTTCACTAAAATTGCTTATATAATTCTGTGGAGGATATTTTAAATTTATATCGTAATGGTCATAAGTACTCAAAAGCTACCTCACAAATGCTATCAGTATTTTCTGATATCTTTATGTGGTTCCTGTGGACACTCGCCCATAAAAAAAAAAGAAAAAAAAAGAGAGAGAAGTTATCCTATTATTTGCATGATGTGCAAAGTGAAAAGGTGATTTTCTTGCTATTGCATGAAATGTAGGCATATAACATCTTGTGATTGCTAACTTTCATATTGATTCTGACTTTCCCTGTTCTGTTTTTCTTACTTAACAAACTGGAAGATTTTTACCTCACACAGATGCTTATACTCTGAAGTAATAAATGGTGATCTTGCTTAAGAAGCAAATCCCTAATGCAAAAGTTTTAACACGTATTTAATCAGTTTAATTTGCAGTTGGTAAAATAAGTGCACTTCCAGCTAGTGGATTATTAAAACCCAAAACAATTTTATTGCTACAATTTGGTGATGTGCACAGTATTATAGCATACTTGCATAGTGATTAGCTTTTGCAATTAGAGGTAAAGCTTCAGAAATACTGTTAAATAAAGGTAAGTGCCAAATATTCAAAGATATGACTCAATAAGCTTATGTAAGCAAGGACACTTTCTCAAGCCAAAAATCATCTCTATCACGATGTGCAAGGTGAACTTCTGTGTTTCTTGAGGTTTTATACACTTATCTGCTGGGGGATAATAAGGCTCCTCTCCCAACTTCTGTAAAATATTATAAAACTCTACCTCTCCTCCCCCTCCTTTTAAAAAAAAAATAGTCACATTATGAGAAACTGTCAAGGGCACTTAAGAAATATTAAAACCTTCCTAACAAAAACCAACTCTTCGAGAAAATAAGTATGTTTAACAAAAGAAGAATAAGGTTTTTTTTATTCCACAATGATTACTATCCATATTCTGAAAAAATAGGACCTTTTGTCTCAGATAACACCATGAGTTCCTGGCTTTGTGAAACTCCATGGTTACACTGCAATAGCGCATAGACTGGTGCTGACCAATTTGTGGTCCTCTGGAATTCAGGATCTGTTCACCCAACATGTTCCTCATTCACTGGGAGAGCTGGCACCCATCTGATGCTTTTATCTCTCCCTGGGCCATGTTAGCCAGCTACCTCCCATCTTTTTTATGCTGTCAGGTCACAATAACATTTAAAAGGGAAGAAATGCTAAGACTGAAACTAGTCCTATGAAGTCAGAGAACAAGGCAGCACAGGGAAGCTGTGCTTTTTCTCATTTTGACATGGCTTTGAATTCAAATAAAAATAAGGTGGCTGCCAGGCTAGCACAACTTGGTGTCAGAAAGGGAGGCAAGACAGGAAGAACCATGCCAAGTCAACCGTACTTCAGAGAGAGATGCACAGATTAACTTGCTTTGATTTATAAGGCTGAAGAACACGAAATACAGTCAGCAATGACCTATTTTCACAGACAAATCCCAAGTGTCATCTACTTTCAAACTAAGTTAATATAAAGCAAAACTAGACATTTTATAGGTATATATTGATACATTTCCATCTGGTCAATACTAGTTCCACTACACTGAAAGAAGCAAAACTGGATTTGTATTTTAATCGAAAATTTCTTGCTTCTCCAAGGGCAGCTATGGGTAGAAAGATGTGTAAAAAGAGAAAATAAAAAAACCCACTAATACAATTAGTGGAAAAAGATATCAACTATTAAAAAGACTGCAAAAATAGACAACAAATTAACAAATCTGAAAAAGTGGTGTAACGCTTCTGAATAGAAAAGCACAAAAATGCTAGTATTTAAAATAAAAAGTTATATTTTTAATACATTTTAAATTATATTATAATTCACAGTTAAACTAAGCTTTTAAAATTTTCTCATAGTCCTCTGGCTTAACTTGTTTAATAAAAACATAGCCTCTAATTCTGTAAACTTGTCCATATTTATTCAACTTTTTCCAACCTAAATTAACCATGTACCAAAGCTCTTAAGTTAGGAATATAGTTCTCTTGTCAAATGAGAGAAATATCAAGTCAGAGGGCGTAACTTCCAAAATGCAGCAACTACGAATTGTTTTTTTATTAGAAAATTACTTTTTTTTAAAATAGCAGTTTGTTTCTCAACAATCTGGCAATAACAGGTGCAAAGAAAGCCCAAATAAGAAAAAAAATCACTAAGATAGGAAAGAGAAATACATTACAAGAAATTTTTTTTTCAGCTTCAACCAGCTGGTGGACAGCTTATGCATAACAGTTTATACATACATACTAGAAACTGTCATTATGTCTATCAGTAGGCTTGTGTCAAATCCTTTAAAAAATTCCATTAAGGTTTTGCTGCAATGACACTAGTGACAATGAATTCTCCATGTTCAACGAAAATTAATGCAGTGTTCCAGAAGCAGGCCATCTACTGATAATATATCAGGGCATAATAATCTGCTTTCATTTTTTTCATGTTAATAGTATTTAAATTTAAAAAAGACAGTATTTTGCCAACTGGCAAAAATAAACAGATGCATTTTATAGTAGTGTATTATGTAATGTCAGGAAGAAGGGAAGCATAGGTCAACATAAATATATCAACATGCATCTCCATTCCATGTGTTCTGAGGTTGGCAGGACATGGGCTAGCCTTACCCCCAAAGATGTGCCATATTACAAACTGTGGAGACTGAATAAACCTTCTTTATTGGACAGTCCATAATACTATACTAATGTGCTTACATGGCTTCCAGACTAGGGTGGGTATATTAATAAATGGCTCAGATTTAGTTCTAACTTGCCCATTGATTACTAAGAATTTAAGCAGATCAGCATTGCTGATTTCTCACCTATTTCATCTTTTCTCATATCCTTCATCTTGTCCACAGTGAGATTCTTCTCTTCCAACTTTGAGAGGACTGATGGTGGTAACACTGAGAACTGTCTCAAAGGGCTGACCCAGCCCCACAGCCGCTTGTCAATGACTTTGCTGAGATTCAGTAGTCGATATGTCATTGCAGGCCAACGTTTCCTAAGGGCAATCTCAAAAAGAGCTCGAACAATACGAGCTGCATTCTGGAGAGTGAAAAGAAAAGCAAAAATGTTGTAATTCTTACAAGTATTCTTTGTAAAATGAAAAGGAACCCATAGACTCATCTTTGGCAAATCATAACAACAGATTTTTCTTTTCAAACTTATTTCAAACATTTTTGAAAACTTTATTTTTCCCATCACTGTCCAGTGGCAGACCTACCTCATGATTGCCTACAGAAATTATGAAAAGAACCATGTGCAACTAATTAAAGTTGCAGTGGCAGGTCTGCCATAGAATTTTGATCATGGTTATGATGACATTAGGGAGTTCTAAATTTATTGTGTCTTTGCAATCACTTCTGAAATAAATTCACTTATCATACTTACTATATTCCTCCTTCTCCCTCCATATAATATACACCTGCAAACTCAGTTTATATAGAAATTCAAATTTTAATTTTTAACTTCAGTTGTGCTTCCATAATAGCACCTCATTTCACACTGCATTTCACAACATTTGCACAGTTTAACACCAGTGACTTTTTTTTAACATGTTACTATCTTCTGAGACTACTGTATAACCAAACTGTATAAATCTGCTTTGAACTTGGAAATTTAATTATTAACATAAACTCAAATGAGGTCAGTTTTATCCTGAAAATGTAAGTTCTGATATTCCTTTCATAAAATCATCAATCTGTATTATGGAGTTGTTTACTTTTTGTGTGAGGTTTTTAAAAAATTTTTGGGCCTACTGGTACTATGCCTGGATTAGCAATTCTGTTCTTGATTCACTGAATAGAATACAATCATTCTCTACTGGCTCTGTGGTACCAACAGGAATAAAAACCAGAAAATTATTTGGTCATGATAGGAAGCATAAGTTACTAAAGAAGCACATTTCTTTTACTTTGAAAGGATGAATGATTTTCTTAAAAGTCACTATCCAATTAAAAAAAATGTACAATTTATAGCACAGGTTTCACATGTACAGTTTATGAAGATCTGAGAAGATGACCATGTTGCATCATTAAAAATGCTGTAATTGAGACACACAAATAAATGCAATTGTCTTGAACACAAAGATCAAATGAATCGTACTGAAAATGATCTTGCTGCACAAGTATCACAATTTTTATATGTGTGTAACCATTTCAGAAGTTTCTCATTTTTACCCATACGTGCTACGAAATGTAAACACTTCTGAAGGAGGCAAGGTTAGTATGAAAATCTTGCTGAAGAATGTATATAGTTTTGAATATTTAACTCTCATCTTTAGCAACAACTACATGCAATTTTACAATCAGTTCTTTCCAAAACAGTTGTAAGGATGAGACAAAAATGGTTCAGTGTAACACGTTACTGACTGTTAAAAAAAAAATCTATTTCAAAAAACCTCATCTATTTTATACATTCATTATTGTTGCACATCTGGGATTGTCACTTTGAGTTCTTCAGGGTTGAGAATTCTAAAACTTCAAGAAACACCTCTTTCTTTCTAAGAAGAAACACCTCTTTCTCTTTTTGGGTGAGTGTACAGTTCTGTGTCACAGACTTGCAGTTTTCGTATTATTGTGTGTAGTAACTAAACATGCTGTAGAACTACCAACCATTCAGGTGTCAAATTAAGTCAAACAAACAAACACAGAGACCGGTATGTAAATTTACACAACTACATCTAGCAATAAAATTGTAATACCACATCTTTATTGTGTAAACCAAGGTATGTAAATAAAACACAAATTATGTTTTGTGGAACAAAATATAAAAATGTATACTAAACATAAAAATAAATTGCAATAGTTTTGCAGATTTAGAAGTAAACCCAGTAAGTCAAGAATATTTCTGTGCAACCACAGTTAGAACTACTAAACATAATAAGACTTCAGGCGGAATATGAACAAAAAGGACATTCATAATTAACAAAAAATGAATTAGTCTCTCCCAGGTAGGTTTTTGCAGATCTTTTCTACTTAAATATTAAACCACACATGGGCACACACAAAAGGCTCTGATTTTCAAATCAGTTTGCATAAAAATATACAAAAAAGTTTGCAAATCAAGGCCTACATACATAATTGTAAACATTTAGGAGAATGAAAACAGCAGAAGACAGCTGTAAAAAGTACTGTTTTTACCTGCGCAACATATGCAGAATCTGAAATGAGGGAGAAGCTGTCCATCTCCCCTCTGCTAATATATGTTTGAAGGAGGATATTTATTTTTCCATAATTGTTTTCCACACCTCCTGGAGCAGGAAGTTCACAGAAATCATTCAGTAAGGTATCCAGCTCTTCTATTTCTTCTTCTCTTACCTAAAACACAATTATACATTATGAAGAGGCCGGAGCAATTTGATAAAAATTTTTACACTGAAATCAAATTTTCCTTATATCAGAGTTACATTATTTTTAAATGGAGTCTCTAGTTTTAAGGAAAAAAAGGAAGAAAAAAAGCAGCAAACACACATCTTCCACAATGTAACTAATAGACCATAATTGAAACTATCTTAATAGTGACACAATTACATTTTATTATTCATCACCATCTATTAAGGTTGCCATTGACATACAAAAATTTGATATGCCACAAAAATTGAATCTTCTGACCCTGCCATTCTTCATCTGATGAGATTTCATTTTTTATTTGACCAGAGTAAAACCTCTGTCCATCTGGATTAGGGGAATCTTGAATTAACATTAAACGTACTCATTACAGTTACATAGTTTGCGTGTGGCATAATACATTTTTAACTCAAAACTGTGAAGTACTATGATTCATGATATTAAAATTTTCACTGTTAATAAGATTAAGTCTTAACATGAGTAAAGAAATATTCATATCTATGGTTTGAATAATGCATAACATTTCACATTCTAACTGATGACCCTTGCATGGCAAAACCAGCATAAATCTACATATTCTTTGATTTACTGATAGTCTGTTAGTGTAAAACTTATTTAAAGAGGGTAAATGTTTGGTCCCTGCAGGGAACCAGCCGAAAGTAATTTTCATTGGGACCTGACTACCTGACATACAAAAGACCCTAAGACAATTGGGTTAAAATGCCCAACTATCCAGCCACTGGTCCTACAGGAAAGAAAAAGATGAAGGACACAACCATCACAAGATTACTCCAGTGTCAAGGGAATATTATGCTCTGCTTATAACACGATTTTTGGTAATTTTTTCTGTTCTTGCATAGCACAGTACGGGTCAAATCCAGATCTGTACTTTAGCTACTGGCGAGTCATTTCAAAATACAGAATTCTTAAAGGCATTATGAAGACATAATTCCTATTAACAAAAGTCACAATTTTTACCACACAGAGGTGTAAATCTTGAGTTATTGTTGTAAAAATCAATTACTAGTTTCAGCATTCGAAGCTGCACAGCAATCGAATCACAAAAATGTGGGAATGATGTTGCACTGATCCCATACCATACAAATCTGAGAAAGCGAACTAGAAAAACTATGCTTTAGTCAAGAAGCATCACTACTAACTTTACTACAAATATAGAAACATATCACACCATATTTTCCATATGTTTTCTTTTTAAATATTCAATAACGCTAAATTTAGACCCAGTAGAGCAATCACTATCATAAAAAACCCTTCTAGCTTGGAAAATGTTGCATGCATCACTGTGAAACCTCAATGCTTATTATCTTCTATAATAGAAGAGATTACAGCAAAATAGAATTTCTCCATTAGTTAAAGAGATGGTAATACTCAGACAATGTGTGCAAATATGTAAATATGTAGACAGTGAGGGATTCACACTGCCAGTTCACAGCGTCAGGTGATTGAGACCCAACTCTGATCTGAAAGTTGTATAATTGTGGTAAAATGGCAATGAGCCCAGGCTAATAAACCCTGCGAAGTCTGGCTCACACCTCTATGAGATGGAAGTTGATGTTGGCTTGCAACTTATTGTCTTGTGTCCTACCCACACAGGAGGCAAAAAGGGAGGTTGGAATCGAAGTGAGTATGATAGTACAGTAATCTTCTAGCCTGCACAACAGAATCTGTTACAACTTTCTAGATTTCAAATCTGAAATTAATTTATCAGAATATATCATTCTGCTAATCTATTATGTTCCATGCACAAAGTATATCACAGAGTTAACTTCATTGAGTTCTGTCTCATTTCTGATAAAGTAAATTGTTCAGGGAGACATTTAATAATGGTTTAAAGTTCAAACAGAAAAACTGTATCATCCTTGGGTGCACCATTCCAACGGACACTCATTTTCACCTGTTAATAACTGAGGAGTTGAAATGTTCTTAAAAGCATTTAAAAGGAATTCTCAAAGATAGTTATTAAACATGCACTATAGTTCAAGCTGAACTACACATAAATTTGAGTGAGAGCTTATATAGTTCTTGCAATTATGCATACTTAGAAAACATTTTATTATGGTGCTTACTACTCGACAAAACTTGATTCTGTAGACACTATTTATGGAGTACTACAGAAATATCTAGTTATAAAACATTCTTTGAATGAAAGGATACAATTTTACCTTTATCTGTTCGAATTCTTCAGCTTTTGATACTATAGCAAGAATATCGCCTTCTGTTTTATGAGCATCAAACAATTCATTGAAAGTCTATTAAAAAGAAAATGAATTAACACTGAAAATAAAAATATACATGCACCACAAAAGAAAGAAACATTAACCAAAATTTTTAAAGGCATATAAGGTTAAAATGTAAGTAAGTTATTGGAACACCAGAGTGATGCCATTTAAACAGGAACAACTTCCAGAATGACTTGTCAGTACTTTCAGAAAAACAGTCCCTTGAAACTTGAGCACCCCAAAATCAAGAGATAGCCAACTTATGGCCATTTAAAAAAAATCTAGAACATATCTGAGTGAATAGATCTGTTACACTAATTATAAGTAAATAATATAATTATAAGCAAGTATATGACAGTAAACATTTAAAAACTATTAATGCCATCTTCAGCTTTTTTTCAAGAAAAAGACTTATTTCCTACAAAAGAAAGGTTTTAAGATGAATGTGTACATCAAATCCAGTACTACAAAGTTTTACACAAATGCAATTTCCTTACAACACAATCTGATTCCAGTGCCAAAAGTTGTTTAAGGTTGGCAACCTGACAGCATTTTCATGTAGAAAAACGCTTCTGTTATCAGACTCTGTGCTTGAGTGTGCTACCATGTACCAATAGTTGCACACACTGTTGATATAGAAGTGTTTTTTTTATAATCTACCTAAAAGAAGGCAGAAACTACAGAAATTTCAAATCTTGCTTCATACGAAGTTGCTTTATTTTTCCTTTCTATTTCCTCTCTCCCTATTTTGGTAAATATGATTTGAAAATATATTGAAACAAATCAGCTACATATTCTGTAATATCTTACGACTATTTTAGGTACAGGTTCAAAAAGAAGGAAAAAAACCCAGAAATAGAACATCATATTTTACCTCTATAGTATTGTATTTAATATAGTAGTGGCTGGCAGTTCTGCCTAAATCTGTTGAGGAAAAGAAGCCGGTTCGTTCTTCAAAGCGAATCATGCGGGCTTTGTCCAGTTTTCTGCCAACTTCAATTACCAATTGTTCTCTGTGCTTTTCTAGACCTGGATCCATCTAGACACAAACCACACACATTTATTTTTATAAAGGAAAAAAAGAAGTGTTAAATAAATAATGTTATTGAGATAATCCAGTCACACAAAGCCAGAAATCAAATAAAAGGAAGGTACAGTCAAAATGTTCTTGAAATCTCACTAATAACAGTTACATTGGCATTATTGACCAAAACCTGTCTGTACAAGACAAAATAAGCAGAACAATATTGCTTTTACAATGCTTCAAACCTGTCAATACAATGTAGACTAATATTACTTATGAAACAGCAGCATGATTATGAAATAAATTTACACTGAAGTTTTGGAAAGAAAGTTTAATTATAACATTCTTCCTGAAATTATCATTACTGTATCACTTCACAAAAGCATGCCATCTTATGGAATCTCATATTTATGAAAATAGCTGAAGATATACCTGGCCTGGGTATCTGACATGAGGATGGCTTTAATTGTATCCCAAATAGAATAAGCTTCAAATTGGATGGCTGACATGTTTATTTGCAAAAAAACTCTAATGTCCCAAAACGTTGGGTATGTCAGCTGGGATATTCTAATTATTTAGTTAGTGATGTACTGTGTAAACATTCACATTAAAAGCAAATAAGGAGCTTGCTGTGCCCAACACCACTTGTACTCATACCAAAGTTCAGGAACTTGGACATTTTGTCCAAGTAATAATATACATTACCTCATTAGTACATACAAGGCTTAGTGGCACCATCTGAGTGGCACCGCTGTATAACTGTGTGTTTCCACATTATGCACCTGGGATATCCAGATTGACAGGGATGGGTAAAAAGGGATTCATAGTAATGTTAACCTTCTGGTATATGTGCACCTGAGACACGGCTCAAAATACACAAGCAACGATTATTCACCAAATTTGAAAAGACTGGAACTCTGTTCTAGTCCACAGGCAGCATTCTTATTTCACGTCTTGTAGAGTTCACATTTCCTACAGAGAAAATCACAAGACTGCAAAAACGAACAGACTTCAAGAACTGCTGTGCCTTGGTTTGCTCTAGTTTTCCCTGGGCCAGGATTCAGTTTCATCTTTGAGCTGAAGTGCTTTATCTTGTGTTCAGTGAAGCTGCAGATGAACACAGCCATCTCCACAAAGCAGCTGCAAGTCTACTGCCTAATATTCCCCATCTTTCCCAGTTACTCTGAAGCTGTTTCTCCTTAGTTATGGCTTGCCTTAGTTTCAAGTCAAAAGCTAAGATGACAAAGGTCTAGAGTGCTTTTCTCAATAGTAAGTCATGCATCAAGGTCGGATTTCAGAGCAGAGGTGGAAAAAAAAAGTGATCAGGATGCCAGATGTTTAACATTTCTTAAAACTAAAAAGAGGTGAAAAAACCTAAAAAAATATCAAAACACTTCCCTACTCCTCTGGCATTCCAAACTACCTGTCAATCTTTTGCCTTACATATAAAAAAGCTAAAGCTGTAACAGTAGACTAGTATTTTTTACATATAGAAATGTAACATATAGAAATGTATAACTTTAAAGGAAAGGTCATCAACTTAAAAACAATATTCCAGTCTAGAGAACCCATGGTTAGCAACTTTCTAGTTAAGTTGCTTTATTAGAAATTTCACACAGTAAATGATCCAGCCTAGAACATCTTTAAGCCATAATCTTAAAAATGAACCTTGGCATGTCCACAGCAAGAAACTGAGCAGATCTGGAGTAGACATATGGAAATTTAAGAAGGCATGATAAAGCATATTATTATTCTCATTGTTTTCTCTAGCTAACTGACAGAAATGTTGATGACATGCTCCTCTAACTTTTACAAATGATCTAAACATAAACATACAGCTAATGGGGATAAAAAAAACTTAACTACGCTTAACTATGAGAACACCAAAGAGTGGAACCAAAAAGAGGAGAAAACAGAAAAAGGGGCTACCTTCAAAGAAAAAAAAAAAACCAACCACCAACCACCTATCCTTTGGAACTCTAAAAGAATGCAAAAATGCCTCTAATTCATACCACAGGCTTCACTAATATGACACTTAATTTGCTTCTCTTTTTCATTCTCCTCTTTGCTGCTTCTTGCTGCTCATAAATTTCGGCCATTTTCCTGACTCATCAAAAGTCCTTTTTGGCACTTCTGGCAAAACAACTTGAAATGTCACAACTGAAAGCAGTGGCCCTGGAGTAGCTTACTCTTGGGCATAGCCCAGAAATGGGCTAGGTGCGAACAGTAATATCCCGGAGGTAATAGGTGGGGTGCAGAACGTGTTGGCACCTGGCAGGTGCATGCTTGCCCTGGTCTCCCTATGCAGTACAACACACTCCTTTTGTGTGGACAGGCTGCACCTTTTGTGCCCTAAAGTAATTACTGGATGCAGTGAGCGCCTGTGGAAAGGAAAAGGAGAACAAGTTTGCATCTTCTCAGCCCCACCGAACTGCTGGGAAGACTGTGACCTGGGATGGTTATGCAGATATATGGATTCTGAAGGGGTAACACTGGCTGCCAGGCAAAACAAAGAGAGAAATTGGCAGGCTGCAACGTTACTAAGAAAAAATAAGATACCAGTCATGAAAATTGGATACCTAAAACCAGAACAGAAGGAATAAAATGGCTTAAGTGAGCAAATCTGTGGTTATGCCTGCATCTGACACTATACCATCCGTATGAAGTTTAAACCTGGTTTGTTTAGAAAATAAAGGGACTGGCACTGGGTTTGCTCCTATATGAATAGATAACACTTCAAATTGATATAATTTGTTACTGCCTTAACACAAAAATAGGCATGTCTATTATTAGCACATCAAATCAGATGGGGTAGAAAGGAGGTTAGTGGCAGAAAAAGACAAATGCTGGCAATCTCTACTTCCTCAGCAGCTGAATAAAAACACAAAAGTAAGGGGAGAGGGAGCAACTCTGGTTCATTATTTTCAAAATTTATAAAAAATATTCTGTTAGTGTTTTATTACCTTTTTTTCACCAGTTATTACCACCACAGTTGCATTTCTTTTAATCTAGAATTTGTTAATAACACCAGTCGAAAATACCCAATCCAAAAAGAAAAAAAAAGTATTTAAAGGAATGGGACAACTTCCTTCTCACTAGCAAAGCAATCTTTGCTTTTCATTTATCTAATACTTTGTGATTTGTGTTATAGAGTGTTCTATTAACATTTGGTAATGTACTGTAAGGCTTTTTGTAGAAAACAGATTTGAGATGAACAGAGGTCTGAAGGTGTCTGCAGAAGCTTGCTTAAACAATAGCCTACCTACTTCCACTGCAGCTTCCACTATCAGACACAAAAGCTATCAAAAAATATCTTCTGACATATATCTCTACATGTTATAATGACCGAAACAACAGCTGAAACAACATGAAAAATGAAGTCACAAAACAGATTCAGGACATGTGAAATAAACTGCAGTCATCATATACTTGTGAGAGTTTCACCTGCATTAGGCTCAATTACCTATGTCCAAACTAAGTTAAGCTGCTCTGAAAAAAAGTATAAATATTTAGAAAATCTGTTAAACTGTTAAACTTCCTAAAATTACAGATAATGGAGAAAAACTTGAAAAAAACCCTTATACAACTGTAACTCTGATTTATATCACTGCAAGGAACTCTTCTAAATAAACAGAAAAAAAATCAAAATGATTGAGCAAAGAAGTCTTATAATTACTAAAATCACAAGAAAGAAAAAAAATATTTTATAATTTATAAGATTTCATGGGATGAAACATTCTAAAACAAAAGCTGACGGGCGAGGGAGAAAGCAAGCACGCTTTATTTTATCATTTACATCTAGCCTACAATACTGAAATACTGACAATAAGCAGTATTACAGTAACTGTCTGATAAGAATGAATTTTGTCCCCTGGAGCATAACTCGGCCAGTTAAAATGTGTATTTAAGTGAATAGAAGGGGCCTCTTAATTTAGTGTTAAAAATACTCCACTATAGAAAATATCTTCATTTTTCTAAGCACTTTAAAAGAATTGCTGATGTCAGGTAAGTAGAAATAGCAAATATTTATCCTCACATCAGGGAAGGATTAGAGAACCAGAACAGGTTACAGATTTTTTTTAAAATGCACTTTATACCTGATAAGCTTTGTGACTGATGCCATACACTAATGGATTTGCTCTCATCCGTACATAAAGGTAAGTGTAACTTATCCACTTTACTGCTTCTTCCACATTAGTAACTGTTCCAAGAGCGATCTGGAAATAGGAAAAGAGACAAAATTCAATGTATAAGTTCTAGCCGATCATAAGTATTTGGCTGAAAACATACGGAATTCAGAGTTTAAGCACTAGGTTAAAGTAAGTATCAGTATGTTTCTAACTGAAATTATTTCAAAATAATCATAGGACAATAACTTGAACCATTTACACATCATCATCTTATGAACATCTAATAACATGGTATGTTCTGTGACATAGTACTATAGATACAGTGACCCACATGATTTATCCTACACCATGTATGATTTTTACAATTAAAAGACGATACTGAGCAAGCTTGTTATAAAAAAAGACAAACCAACATAATTCTTTAGAGAATATGCTCAGGGTAATGTAAAGCAAAGTACCTTAAAAAAAAGGTACATTTAAAAGATTAAATTTTCATACCAATGTAAAAGCACTTTCTGCTTCAAGTCCTAATCAAAATTACCTTTTTCTTCAGCATGCCCTCATATTTGGCAATCTGTTTATACACAGTTTTTAACAAATAGTTTTCTCCTTTTGTATCTGGCAAGTCAAACATACAGGTACCTGCTACATTTTTGTTATATCAAAATAGAACAAAATTGCACAGGTAATATACACATAGTTATTTATTTTTCAAGGTCAAATCAGGTATATCAAACCAGGTTTTCTTTGCTAGGTTACTTTTTTTGCTAATTCAATTGTTTTATCACCTAATTATTTGTCACACACATTTTTACTTGATAACATCAGCTCTATTTTGTATTGGTTACACTCACGAGAAGTATTTCACTGCTTATTCCATTTAACCTGATTTTACCAGGAGAATTTTATATTTCCTGCATGTCCCCTGAACAAGTATTTTTTGGTTGCTGTTGGTTGTTTAAAGCAAGCAAAAATCCTTCTTACTGAATTCTTGTGATCCATTACTATTTTTTTAAAGTTATTTTGTTTCATTGGTGTTCGGATTTCATATAAATGTTCCACATAACTAGGTAAAAAAAACCCCCAAAACTCCCTATACAACTGTAGATGACTTCATATCCATTTTCAGACCTAAGCATCTAGACCTTAATAATAATAATATAGATATTATTTTTGAAATAACATAAATAACTAGTCAAAAACATTAATGCAAGCCAAATCTGCCCTGAGTTAAAATAACTTAAATCCGGCAAAGCCTTGTGGATATCAATGACTAATAGCATGGAGTAACCCCAAGGTTTGTCTCACACGTTTTTCAAGTGATATTTCGCTCTTCATCAGCATAAGCAGATCAAGGGAAGCCCCATTGTGTTGTTTTTCGAAGTATATCGCTACTTAATGCACTGAAGTAGCTACAGAAGCATTCAGACTGCTGCAGGGAAAACATCTAATAGAGCTCACAGGTTATTATTACTTGATTTGCTACCCAGGTTAATTTCACGATTTGGTTTCTTTCCACGATTCAAATACCTTTCAGTACACAACTTGAAATAGCTTAGCAACATAGCCCACTAGTAACATTTTTCCCCAAACAACCACTTTCACAATCATGAAAATGTACAATTCTCATTACCAATGACAGTGAAGTCTGACAATTAAAAGAAAAAACATCCAACACATTTTTTGCCTCATTCATACTTACAAATTAATTATTTTCATAAGTTAAAAGTAAAAGTCAGGGGGAAAAAAGTGATTATGAAATACAGTTTGGTTTCAGATATGGTACCAAAATTTAATACTGTGCTTTCCTTCCTTCCCCAACTTTACTGAATATTCATGGGATAATATGAAGAGACCAAGAAAAAAAAAGGCAACTTCTAAATATTTGCTGCCATCTAGTGTTCACGTAAAGTTCTTACAGATTATTTGAAAATTCATACCTTTGTTAAAACAATATGAATGACAGAAGTTATCTTCTACAAAGGAGTTCTCTTTATATTACAAACAATGAATGAACGAAGAGTAATTAAGAAATAAATTATATACAAAGTTAGGGGAGGACCTCTGTTAAGACCTAAGATATGTATTTATAAAATCAATAAATAGATAAGGTGATACTTCATTAAAACAAAAAAGTTCTGAATTTCCATCATTTCCTCAACTATATATTAGGTATTTAGTTATAGATAGAATAATCAGTGATTAGGAATTTTACTATGTTGACATTGTACTGTTTGATTGCACCAGTCATCACAACATGCTTTTTTAAAAAACTGTTCAAAGACAAATGATTGTGCTGCACTTACAAAATGAAAACTTAAGTACTATATTATCAAATCCGCTGTTTTTAAATAACAGAAATAGTCATCACAATTTTTCAACTAATTGTTCAATGGCTGATGTCATAATCACCGAGTGATATGCTTAGTAGTCTGCATTTTCATTATTTTTTTTTTTACAAATGCTATCCTACAGACTTTATCAAGTTGAACAGTATTTCAGAGGAGTTTTTGATTTTCAAAAAAGTATAAACACATATAAGCAGCATGGCTTTTTGGGGATGGTGTTTGAAAACGGATTTTTTTCTCCTTGATTTTTCTATACAGATTAGAAAAGAGCATAAAAAGATTACTGATAATATATACTGTATGTATTATACAGCATATTATGTTACATATTATTTATTATATATTGTATTTTTACATAAGAATTTTAAATAGTATTTTCATTATTTTGTTGCATTTAAATCTATCATTTTATTTAGTAATATTCTTTAATAAAATTATTTTAATTATTTTAATATTGAAATTTTTATTGTGTTCGTCTAATTGAGTCAGATTACATGGATGAAAAATTTCTATATATGAATCAAGTATTTGTTGTTAAGTTAAGAGAGCAAGGAAACTTTCTAACAACCTAATAAGCAATTTTCTATTTTCTTTGGAAAGTAGTGTATTTTGAATTACCATTTCAGCATCTGAAGTGATTATGGTCTTATTCCTGTATGGCTTTTGAAATAATTTCTTAATGCTAGTAGAATTTTCCCAAGTGGGACAGAACCACATGTGACCAAATGTGAGCAAATGACCTATTAGAGAGCAGCGTAGGGG